AGTGGACACAATCCAGGGTAAAAGTAATGGACCGTCGGAACATTTACCTGCTCTAAAATATGGAAGAAACATGGAGAAAGTTGCTAAGGATAAGTATGTGAAACTGTTTCAGAGGGAGCACAAAGATGCAAAATTCAGAGAGTGTGGACTATTTATTGATGAATCTGACCAATTCATTGGAGCATCCCCTGATCTGCTTGTTGAATGTTCCTGTTGTGGATTAGGGGTGCTAGAAGTGAAGTGCCCTTATTCTATTGTTAATGATTTACCATCAGAAGACAATCTTTCCTACCTGGTAAAGATTAATGGCAAAATTGTCTTGAAAGAGAAGCATGCATATTTTGCACAGATACAGGGACAAATGGCTGTGACAAAGAGAACATGGTGTCACTTCCTGGTCTACACCCAAAAGGGTTATCATCTGGAGCTAATCAAGTTCAATAATGATTACTGGGAAAAGATAAAGCAAAACCTAATTTGGTTTTATAATAAGTATTTAAGTGAATGAATGCTCGTTAATTATAACTTGATACAAAACTTTATTTACATGGTGTAAACACTAAAAATACATTTGTACATTTTATATACAATTTAGAATTTTTACAATTTCATATCTGGAAAAACTGGTCTGACAGTTCTAAATTGAACTCAAATAGTCTCTGAATAGAACAGTAAAATTGTCTGTTGTGGAAACTGGAATGGATGAATCAAATCATGAAATTTTATACAAGTAATGCATTGACCACACTTCAGTATGATTGAAAATGTTACAGTTTGATATTGTTTGCAGTTATATATATAGTAATAATAAATAATATATTATTTATTTGTGTTCAGCGACACATGAGCTGTGAAATGAAGAAAAATATTTACAAATTATATCTAATGATTGTAATCACTCTACCAGAATAATTTTTCTCTTGTGAGGTCCTTGTGGTGCAAATAATATAACAGTTCTTATTCAGAGTGCACATACTTAATAGCTGAAGCATTAAATGGTACTAAATCATACTATTACTTAATTTTCTTGTTATGTACCATTATCAACACTATTTAGTATTATTTGGTACCATTTGTATGAAAGATTAAGTGATTGCACTCTATACTAGTTGCTAGTAAAGTAGAGCAGAGATTTTGAATAACATTTAACCTAAGAAAGAACTTAGACTAATACATATTGGTATCCTCTAAATTTATGAAGTTTATATTCTTTCATGGGTTAAATGCTGTCAATCTTTTTTAGCTATTTGTACATTTCTTGTTAATCATTTTTTACCCAAGGGTCTATACAAGTTACATAAGGCTGCACAAATAAGTACAATGTTGTCTATACTGCCAAGCAGTGATATTGGTAGTTCATGCTTTATCAGTCTAAACGTCTTCAACCGTCTTATTGCTTGCTCAACAAAGATTCTAAGATTTGCAATTTCTTTTGTTTTAGCAACTTCAGCTTTAGTGAACTGCTCTTGTCCACGTTTACCAGGGGGATGTGTAGTCTTGAGCTTCTGATTAAGAGGTCTTCAGCAATTGTGAATCCACGGTCTGCCATCACTTCATCGCCAGGTTCAATGATATCATAAAATGATGATTCTCTTGTCAGATGCACATCTGAAGTTCTCCCTCCCCATGCTTTGGATAAGAAATTGAAAAAACCATGTGGTGTTATTGATACCAACAGCTTAGCAGTGTTGTGATGCTTGTAGTCTGACCACGTAGCTGCTCTAAGGTTTGGGTCGCTTGGGGTTTCAATAAATATTTCTGTGCAATCAATGATGTGGCGTACATTAGAGTAGCCTGGCTTTTTAAACTTTGCGGGCAAAGTTGCTTTCACAACATCGATGGAGGGATTGTAAACCAAACATTTAAGTTCACTTGCTAGGATTTTCACCCAGGTAGTAACAACATTTGTTACATTTGTAGTTGAAATTCCAAACCTCTGTGCTAAGTCAGCATTTGTTGATCCAAGTCGAAGTTTCATTAAGGTCAAAAGAAACTCATCTTTTTCTGACAAAGCTCTTTTAGGGCCAAACTTATTTGGTGTTTTTTTGAAGTTTCTTCCTTTTTTAGTAGATTTTTTTGGGCCACTCCAGTAGTTTACTTTTTTAATGTTTCCCTTCACTACTTCAAACAACTTATTGAATACTCGTTTTGATGGTAGGCCGGTTAGTAGACGAACAGATGAATTTGTTTTCAAATCAGAATGTTCTAGTCCCTTACGCTGTCTGGCCTTGAGTTTTATCTTACATGCTTTGAGTTCACTTTCAAGTTCTTGGAGTTTTTCTTTGAGATCTTTGATCTCATTGAACTGCTTGAGTCTTTCCTGCAAGCATTTTTCTTTCATACAGAAGTCAGGATCTTCTAGGTTGTACCAGCCAAACGAATATGCATGATCGTGAGTGATATGGTCGGGTCGACCGGCAGTAGTACAATGTTCTTCTTCTGTTATAAACGAGGAACTACTTGGTTCTTGAATCACAGGAGCATCTTGACTATCATGTGCATTATCTTGAGTATCATCTTGAATATTATCTTGTGTGTTATCTTGAGTATTATCTTGAGTTCTTAAACGTTTCATTTCTTCTAGTAATGATGATCTATCAGTAGGCGGTTTACGGTTACGAGTAGACTTTGTCTCGTAGCCCATTTTGAGTACAGGATCAGGGTTTTCTTTCGTGGGTTTCCCATCAACAAAGTGCTCATTGCAGACTCTCGACGAATTATTAGGTTGCCAGACTTCTCCTTTCGGGCCTTTTCTCTTTAGAAGATGGATCCAGCGCTTTCTACCCTCATTGTTTTTGCGTTCAGTAGGGAACGGAAATAGCTTGAACGGCAGCGGACAGTCACATGGCGGAGTGCCGTGTAAACAATCGTGAACTTCGCATTGCTGTGAAGCCCATTTCTCAAGCTTTTTCCCACTGTTATGGCACCCAAATACTGCACAATTTCTGTGCCCAAAGACCATGTCATTAAACGGCTGCAAAGTAATAAAAATACGATGAGAATCTTTGACTTTTGACAGTTCTTGTATTCGCGAATGTCACTCGCGCGCAGGATTGAATCTACTACCATTAAAAGCTTAAAAACAGCTAAAACAAAGTTAAAATTTGTAACTTACCTTTTGAATATAATACCCACGAAGATTATTTTCCAGTTGATATCACTTACAAGAACAAAAAGACTGTATTATAGATAAAGACACGCTTCAAAGAACGCATTGAATACAGAGACACACGCCATATTGTCACGCTTGGTGCCCACTTTTTTTGTGAGACTATCCCAGAATGCATTGCGCGCGAATTACCTTCCGGAACTCTTGATGCAGGTATTCATCTTGTGATCCATTCGAATTGTTTGTGCACCCACACTTCAGAGAGAGGCAGCGATCATTTCTGATGGAATGCCTTCCTACGCTTGTGAAATATACGAACAGATCAGTTCCGCCGAAGCCTTTTTTTGTCGTCCAGTAAGTTCGTGAATTCCATCAGCCATCCACTCCTTTCGGACTCCATCTCTAAATGGTTTGTTCAAAGATACATCGAGCGGCTGGAGAAGGGAAGTTCGCGTTTGAAGGAAGTGTTCACAGTATCTGTCACGTGAGCTTCAAATGAGTCGTAAATAAGCAAGCTCTTTCTCCTCCCCAGGCCACCGATCCGTGCACTTTTACTTTCTTTGTTGCGTTTTTAACGTATGCAAATTAGGACGTGCTTGACAAACAATAGAATCCGTGTATAATACGCACCGCGATTTTGATGCTTGTTTTTATGGAAAAAAAAGTGCGCATTACACACGGGTAAATACGGTACTCAATCAGGTTCATTTCCTTTCACAGGAAATTGGCAGACTTTGGAATACAACATGGTTCCAACGAAATATTTTCAATAGTTCCTCAAAGATCTCAAAAATCCTGAACCCCATTCTGTCAAGAGCCAGTACCACTGGCGAGTGCCTATTTTATGCTCCTCCACAAGGAAGGTGATATACCGTTTTTTTTACCTTGGCATAATTAAACATGCTTTGGCCAAACAAAACATTGTCACTTTGAAAGAGAGAGCATTGTGGAATGGACATGTACTAGTCACAGAGCACGAAAAACAAGGGGACACTGATCGCGTACAAGCTCTCCTTGCCGCCAAAAGAAAAGCCCACGGGGCAATACCAATAGGTAGGATAATGTGCATGAGTAATCTAATAATTGGGTACAGAGAAGGTCGGCTTACCCGCGAGATAGATGTAATTTGGTGGCCAAACCTTTATCATACAAGTCTCATTGGAAAAATGAGCATCAGACTATTTGTAAGTCATGTTCATCTTGAATAATTCTTTAAGTTACGCAGAATGTTTTTCTGATTCCAGTTACTTTTTATTTTTAAAGTCACTTCAGTTGAGGAATGTACCTAATGTTACTGAATTGAGGATCCACTGCATAAATGTCCTATACACATACTAAATCTAATAAATAAAATTTGTGAGGTAAGACTAAAAACGCCTTTTTGTCTACAATGCCAAATCAAACTGGAATTCACCCTATCTGTAAAGAAACCTTGGAGAAAACCGAAAAAAAACACAAAACTTAAACAAAAAAAACCAAAAAAATATATATATATTGTGGGAGGAAAAAGACAAATAAACTACAAGTTCATCTCACATAAAGATCCTTCAGTTGAGAATTGTGTAGTTCACATGTGGAAAATAACTGGAACACCTAAGTTCAAGTTACTACAACCTTCCTTATATATAATAAGCTATACCTTAACTCCCTCAGGCAAGAGGGTAAAGAAAAGATTAGAAGTAACCCTCAGGTATACACTACCCAGGAGGGTATGGAAGAGATTAAGAATAACCCTCAGGTATACACTACCCAGGAGGGTATAGAAGAGATTAAGAATAACCCTCAAGTATACACTACCCAGGAGGGTATAGAAGAGATTAAGAATAACCTTCAGGTATACACTACCCAAGAGGGTATAGAAGAGATTGAAAATAACCCTCATGTATACACTACCCAAGAGGGCATAGAAGAGATTAAAAGTAACCCTCAGGTATACACTACCCAAGAGGGTATGAAAGAGATTAAAAGTAACCCTCAGGTATACACTACCCAAGTGGGTATGAAAGAGCTTAAAATTAACCCTCAGGTAAACACTACCCAAGAGGGTATAAGAGATTAAAAGTAACCCTCGGGTATACACCACCCAAGAGGGTTTAAAAAAGATTAAAATTAACCCTCAGGTATACACTACCTAAGAGGGTAAAAAGAGATTAAAAGTAACCCTCGGGTATACACCACCCAAGAGGGTTTAAAAAAGATTAAAAGTAACCCTCAGGTATACACTACCCAAGAGGGTATAGAGAAGATTAAAAATAATCCTCAGGTATACACTACCCAAGAGGATTTAAAAAAGATTCAAAGTAACCCTCAGGTATACACTACTCAGGAGGGCATGAAAGATTGTCACTCTTAAGTCACACTAATTAATATCAGGAGACTACTCTTTGTCTGGACTCTCTCCCTTGACCTAGACTGAAGGTCGAGGCATCCACTGTCAGTTATGGGTCAAAGGATCATTGAGACAATCAAGCCCCTCCACCACGGCAAGGTGACAGTCTCAACGGAGAGGAAAATCTTATGTGTTATACTCAGGTATACACTACCCAAGGGTTAACAGGTTTGGTGAACAACTGAAACTCTCAGGTATACACTACCCAAGAGAGCTCAGGTTTGATCACAACTGAAACCCTCAGGTATTCACTACCCAAAGAACGGAGATGAGCTTTGTTGCACCAGAGCCATCGTCACGGCCAAAGCCAGACTTGACCAGCACCCCAACTGGGACGGGTTCAAAAGAGGCAGAAGGATCCAAGCAGAACATGCAGTAGACCTTCATCACGAAACGAGAGTTCCCCGAGGTCCTTGTGGGTACGACGAACTCCGAGCCTTCTCTCTTGCTCCTTCTCTCTACGACTATCAAATTCTTCTCTGCGATGCCACGCGCGGGTATGTCGTGACGTTGTTTGGCCCACCTTCACAAAAGCAGCTAGTCCCCCTCTACAATGACGGCCATTACAATGTCATCACTTCTCTACCCGGATTCTTTGGCACCTCCTACTTCTGCACGAGGTGTCTCAAACCCTACGACAACCAAGGTCACCATGCCTGCGACAACAACCCGGACCACTGCAGGGCCTGTCTCCAGACTGGATGTCCAGATTACACTGAGGCCCGATGCCGAAGTCTTCTGGCGATGCAGACCTGCGATTTATGTAGATTTATGTTCTATGGGACAGCGTGTTTCACCAATCACGTGTCTAAGACACAGAGTGGGAAGACTGCGGATCACCAGCAACTGAGCGTCTGTATGAGTCGTAGGAAGTGCGGCAACTGTCGCAAACTCCTTGTGGGTCGCAAACAGCAACAAGAACACCGGTGTGGCCATGTCACGTGTCCTTCGTGTCACCATTACGTCGAAGCCTTCAATGACGAAAAACCTCCGTTACACGTATTCTTCGACGTGGAGGTCATGCAGGACACCGGACGTCACGTTCCAAATCTCTTCAACACCCTTTCTAATCAATCCTACGTCGGACGCATTCCTGACACTTCCTACTTCATGCCAGACGTCATGTCTGTATCTGCGCGACGGGACTTTGAGGCGTGGCATACTTGACAATGTGTGGCCAACGTCATCTACGACTTCCAAAAGGAGTTGACTGAATACTGCGAGGCTGACGTCAGACTCCTCAAGCAGGGGTGTCTCTCCTTCAAGTCCGTATTCGAGCCTCTGGCTTGCTTCAATCCTTTTTCCCACATCACCATTGCCTCTGCTTGCAACTGGGATCTCCGTCAGAACCGCATGGAAGCTGACACGATCACCAGCAAACCGCTCCACGGATGGCGCTTGAACACCAATCATTCTCGCATCGCCCTGGAATGGCTCCACTGGCAACAGTACCAGCTACTGGATAAAGACGATTACATCCGACATGTGGGCAATTCTGGCGAGTACCGGATCCCCATTCTCGGTACACGGTAGACAGATACCATGAGAAAACCAACACTGTCTACGAGTTCCAAGGCTGCTTTTGGCATGGTTGTCCGGTCTGCTATTCCAATTGCACCGAATCCCACTGCCACCTCGACGATAGGTGCTTTGACGACGTGTACCATTGCACGCAGGTCAAACTCGACTTACTGCGTAATCGAGGTTTCAGGGTAGTCGAAATTTGGGAGTGTCAATGGGAAAAACTGAAACGAGAACGCGAAGATGTTTGCGCGTTCGTTGATGCCCTTGGGATGCGTTCTTCGGAGGTCGTACGAACGCCTTACGACTTTACCACAAGGTAGACGAGACTTGCGGGGAAAAGATTCGTTATTTCGATTTCATGTCTCTGTACCCGTGGGTCAACAAGAACGGTAAGTACCCTCTGGGACATCCCGAGATCATCTCTCAACCTGGTCATACAGACCTTTCTCGTTATTTCGGCTTAGTGAAACGCACGGTGCTTCCACCCCACGGTCTCTTCCATCCCGTGCTACCTTACAGTCACGCCAGCAAACTCACCTTTCCGCCCTGTGCCTCCTGCGTGACCTAGGAAATGGCCAAACCCTTTCTGGAGCGTACTCCTGGCTGTACTCACACAGATTCGGAACGCCAACTTGTAGGGACCTGGTGCACACCAGAACTCCTCAAGGCTATTGAGAAGGGATACAAAGTCGTCTGCGTACACGAAGTGTGGCATTTCCCGACCACTCGCAGAGGGCTCTTCGAAGACTACGTGAACACGTGGCTTAAGATCAAGGAAGAGGCCAGTGGGTGGCCGAGTCATGTGGGCGACGATCCCCTGAAACGTCAACGACACTTGGACGATTACAGAGACAAAGAGGGGATCGGATTGGACCCGGAAAAGATCGAGAAAAATCCCGGACTGCGTACACTGGCCGAGATGATGTTAAACTCCATGTGGGGTAAATTTGGTCAACTTACCAACAAGACACAAGTCCGGGAATTTGACGACCCCAAAAAATTTTCCACCTTCTGTATCAGCGACACCCTCCAAATCAAGTACGTTGGTATACAATCAGACGATCGCGTTGAAGTACAATACACTTTACAAGAGGAAGACGAATCCATCTCGCCCAACCTGAACATATTCGTGGCCTGTTTCACGACCTGTTGGGCTCATCTTTAACTCTATGACGCTCTCGACATCTTACAAGAGCGAGTACTGTACACAGACACGGACTCAGTTGTGTTCCTATCCGCCCAGGGAATGCCCAAGCCACCACTGGGAGATTATCTGGGGGACTTTAAGGACAAATTGCTGCCAGACGACTATATAGTGGAATAAAAAAAAAACTACGGGTACAGGACCCACAAAGGTGAAGAGGACTGTAAAGTCCGAGGCATCATAGGTCAGTTTGTTATGGTGATGATGATGACGTCATAGGGTCAAAAATCAATACTACTAACTAGAACTGATGACGTCACAGGTCAGGTTGTTATGGTGATAGTGATGACGTCATAGGATCAAAAAATCAATTCTCCTAGCTAGAACTGATGACGTCATCATTTACGTAATAGGTCAGGTTGGGAGAATTAAAAAAAATCAGCCCTGAGTGAGCGAATACCACTACTATCTAGCTAGCATACCCTGCCCACTTTAGAATCTTCAACATGAGTTCCTTTCTGTGGTTATGCATATTGGAATCTCTCCACTTGATATTGTTGACAGTTTTTGGCCCATCTTGGATGAAGTCTCTGCAGCCATGATGACCCCAATCCCACAACTTCCAACACCAACCATCTTATCATCAATCGGCAACTGAGAAGGCATTCCAAAATACAGAAAACCTTGCATTGAGAGCCAAAACTTTGTTTGTAGGGATGGGTTATCTGGGTATAATTCAAGAAGGAGATTCAAAGCATCTTTGACAAGCAGAAGGGCTACTGGTGGCACAACAGACCTAGGCCATCATCAAAATGCACCTGCTTATCAGCAAAGTTGACATAGATCAGGCCCCAATGGTTTATCATGAAGACTGGCACTAGTATTTGGCAAACATTATCAAACAAAGTTATTTGAGAAGCTCTTTCTTTTAATTTCCCAAGTTTGAAACCTTTATCTTGGACCTGCATCCACTGGAAAAATTCAGTGGGTAAATACAATTTGTTCTCATGTCCATGTGAATAGCTCTCTTCAATGTATTTGCTGATGGAGACATCAATGACAAAGCTGTCGATATACCTTTCTTCTGCAAGATCAGAGAAGGAAAGGACATCAATAGCTTTATAGTCACATGCCAGAATGGGGTTTGCTGTTGGTTTGTTCCATATAACTCTCTGAATAAGTTTTAGCTCATCTTGAGTGCAATTTAGTTCAGCGAGCCATTTAGATTCTGCAGTTACCTTGTGTTTTGTTTCAGAAATAGCACAAAACTTCTTCAGAATTCTCAAACCTTGTTCAGAGAACTGTCCTAGCCCTGAAATAGGGAGCTTAAGCAACCACGACGACCTAGGGGACGACGACGGCAGGTATGCGCGGAGAGACTGGACCGAGGACTTCGTTTTAGGCGGGAAAATGAAACTTAAGCAGCGAAGTTGCTCAAGGACGACGACGTTCGATATATTCGTGCAGCCTCGCATTTGTCAAGAAATGACATCGTTTAGAGACGTTCAGAATCTATGTCTTCTCAGTCATGGATTTAATTTTATTGATGATATGGAACTTTTGATTCTATATGACATGTTCGAGCCAAGAAATCCGGATTTTCCTTACGAATTTTACGCGGAATTCGACTTAGATGAGATGGTCGAGTCAGAGTACCTCGCTGAATTTCGTTTCAAGAAAAGAGATGTGTACCGACTTGCCGATGTTCTGCAAATTCCTCAGACCTTACGATGTGACCAGAGGTCAACTTGTGGCGGTGTGGAGGGCTTATGTATGCTTTTGAGACGGTTAAGCTACCCTTGCAGATACGGGGACATGATTCATAGATTTGCCAAGCCAGTCCCTGTCATCAGCATGGTTACAAATAATTTGATCGACTACATATTTGATGTCCATGGCCGACGATTGACCCATTGGAATCCTGAGATCTTGGATCCCGACCACCTTGAGACGTACGCAGCAGCCATTACGACAAGAGGCTCACCTTTACACAACTGCTTTGGCTTCATCGATGGCACTGTAAGGCCAATCGCTCGACCAGGAGACAATCAGCGTATACTATACAATGGACATAAGAGGGTCCATGCTATCAAGTTTCAGTCTTTTGTGTTACCAAATGGCTTAATTGGAAACATGTATGGTCCCGTAGGTGAACTATGTAGCTATATTTTCGTTATTGCGATTTCAAATAAAAAAAATTGTCTTTTAAAATAGTAATGAATTACTTTTTGTAACTTTTTGTATCCTTCGCTTGTTTCAGAAGGCAGAAAGCATGATGCATCAATGCTTGCAGATTCGGGACTGTTGCGAGAGACCACAGCAGTACGCCTTTGACCATGGTGGCCAACCAACGTGCCTGTATGGAGATCCCGCGTACCCACTTAGAGTCCATCTTCAGGGTCCGTTCCGATTTGGAGTTTTAACCGATCAAATGAAGGCTTACAATACTGCAATGAGTGCTGTAAGATCTTCTGTTGAATGGCTATTTGAGGACATAATAAACTACTTTAAGTTCTTGGACTTCAAGAAAAATTTAAAAATTGGGCTAAGTAGCATTGGCAAAATGTATATCGTTTCTGCTCTTCTCCAGAATGCCCTTACCTGTCTTTATGGCAACGAAACGGCCACCTTTTTTTGATCTTGACCCACCAACACTGGAAGAGTATTTCTCATGAGATTTTCATTTGTTTACTGTTTATTTGCTCTTAAATCAAAAGGAGAGCTCATAACAATAGTCTTCAGCACTTTATAAATATTGTAAAGTTTATAATTGCAATAAGTTTGAAAATGTTTGTGATGAAATAAATATATCATCTTTAGAACAAATGTTATTAACAAAAGATTTGAAAATATCAAGGGAGGGATGCACAACTTTAACTCAACAATAATGTTCATCAAACAAACTTGTGAAAAAGTTACTTTGGAACATATTTTTGCATAAAAGCTAAAAATGCCTGTGACTGTTGCTGCTGTTGATTAATCATCATCATCATCATTTGCTGTTGCTGCTGCTGTTGTTTGACCATGGCAGAGATCAGGTTTTCTTGATTCTGGTTCTTTTCCCACTCCCTTTCTTTTATGTTCTCCTGCTCTTTCTTCCTTAATTCCAGTTCTTGTTCTTTCAAACCAATCTCTTTATCCGCCCTTTCTTTTAAATATTCCACAGCATCTGATGTGCTCCTTCGACTTTTCTTCTTCAGATTCTTTGGTACTGAGTCATCACTTTCCTTTTTTCTTTTCGCAGTTTGCCCCATACGTTCTAGAGCCTTCTTTCGCATATCTTCGGCTGCTGCCTTGTCATTCTGGTTGTCACTCTCCAACTTTTCTTTAGCAGCTTTTTCCTTCTCAAGTATTTCTTCTAAGAGATCATCAAGCTCTGAAGTTTCAACTTGAATGCCGCTAGCTTTCTCTTCACTCTTTAGTTTTGCAGCCATTTTCTTGGTAAGGAGGTTGTAGCGGTCTCGTACGGACCTTGCAGTCACCCGGAACTTTGGACATGAATTTTCGTTTAACTTTTCTGCCAAAGATTCCCAGGCCTGCCCCCTTTCTGGACTTCTGATTTTAAATTGGTAGGGCTCGATCTGAAGAACCTCTCGACACATAACGATATCGTGGTCATTACTCCACACGAAATTTGGATTTCTGCCAAAGTAGATAAGAAAAGGATTTGTGAGTGATTGTGCTAAATAAAAATTTAATTAATCCACTATTTGATATTATAAAATCTTTTCATATTATTTTTTGCTGTTAAAAGAGCTAAATTTTTAAGGAAAATTTACCGCAATAAAAAGATCGAAAGCAATGCAAATTATTTTATTTCCGACCTCCTACATTTGCAATTTGTTCTGCGAGTTCTTTCACGGCGATACGTGTATTTTTAATTTCCGCTGTAAATATTTAGAATACTAGACTTTGAGGAGATTATTTCACATTTCTTTTACCCGCCGTAAATATTAAGAACACTAGATTTTACGGAGATTATTTCCCATTCAACATTACGGGGTGTAACTCATAAACAAACCTGATGTTGCACCAGATAAATGCAGGATTCAGGTTTGAATAAGGTTGCTTTCTACTTCACGCAAGCAAAACGATAATACATTTACAAACAATCGGCGGTCAGCCTAGAATGCCGAGCCTTAAAGATTATTTTCTCTTCACATTCACGGCCAAGGGAATCTTTTTTTAGCCGGATAGTTAGTGAAATATTTCGAAAATAAAGTTACAAAACCAGAGAGGGAAAAAGGTTTGAGTAATGTAAACACGCAATCTGATGAAAACCCTCGACGCTTTAAATTAAGTAAAAGATCGAATCTACAAGTTACCTACTTTATATTTTCTTGCACCCGAATTCACAGGTATATAATCCTGCTATCTAAAACTTTTCATTCAAAAATAATCACAATCAGCATTCTTTCACTAAATTCCGTCAATAAATTGCTTACGTGTTTGCTTTCTCTCCAGTTTTCACACTTGCCGCCATCTGTGCAAAAATGGAAAACTTAAAATAAGCCGTTTGTGATAATTGACCCGAACATAAGAGCTTAAAATAACGGCACAAGACAATAAAAACTCCAACCAGTTATCAAATTTGGCAAATGGTAGTAAGTTCGTACCTTTTAGTGCTCAATTCAACTCAAGTTTCTTCCCACGTTCACGACGACGTGAAACAACTCTTTCTGACGTCGTCGACGCTGGCACGACGACGAAATGTTTGGGCCGCGCTTGCGCACTAACGTTCATCCTACTTCCGGTCGTCGTCGTCCCGGTAGTCGTCGTGGTTGCTTAAGCTCCGTAATGACAACACCAAGTGGATTGTTCTGTTTTTGCCTTGCATCAGTCAGGAGAGTCTCAGCTCTTTCAAGGACAGCTTGGCATGGACGTTCAACTACACATATAGGGTTTGTAAACACTGAATTACTTTCAGGTACAGGACCAGTCATGGGGGATAGGGAGCCACTAGCAGAGGATACTGGGGAAATCAAAGTGGCTAGGGCAGCTATTTCAGCTCTGGTGGATGCTGAGGATATGGCAGTTGATAGCTGTTGCTCAATTCTATTGCTGAGACTGTTTGGCTCCTTGTAATCACTGTCACCTCCTTCATCAAGAATTACAACATCCTCTTGGGAGATTTCACTTCCATTGGACTTTATGGGAGCTTCATGGGAAGTAGGTAAGAATGTAAGTTGTTTGGGACCATACCCCTTAGAAGGTTTACGTGCACATGCTGCTGTCTGTTGATTTAAATAACCACTCTCCCACTGATTGTGATTATAATCTACAAGAGTTGACAAAATAGTTTCATCTATACTTGTCCCCTTGTCTTTATCGTAACCACAGCTCAAGTAGTCATCACCAAATATTTGAGTAAACAAATTTAGGCCTCACGGAACAGCGTATGCACGTGAGCTAAGGAAAATTTCAGACATGCGCAGAATAGGCCCTCTCCTGTGTTTACTTCTCTCCTTAACGCTCTTAAAACTTTACCATTTAATATCTCGTCAAAACACGAAGTCTCAGGTAGTTTAACACATAAACTGGGAAGACTGCAACGAATTTGAAGATTCTACCATTTTATTTTTTTCCTTTTCATCGACTAAGTGGTAGAAATTCGAATTTTTCGTACTGTTTTGTTGTTCATTGCGTGTGGTGTTTATTATTTGGAATTTCGAAACGGACAAGTTTAGGAGTGGGCATCGTGTTTTCAAGGCAAACTGAGTTTTGGAGTCCATCGTTGTTTGTTGAAAGTTATTCATAATTTTTTGACACGCGCTCAAGATACCATGAAGGAGTGAAATATATCGACTGATGTAATGTACTCAGAGCAGCTCGAAAGTACAGCAAGCACACAATGCACGAGGTAAGAATATAAATTAAGTTATCTTGACCCCTATCTTGGGGTGTGTTGGTGACAAAGGGTCAATTAGCCTACTTTCAATATTGCCCACTTGAGATCGAGAGTGAACTCCAGTTTAATCGTCAACGGGAACCAAGAACAATTTATCAATCACTTCTCGGGTACTCGTTGGTACTTACTACGGATTATGGAGATGATGTTTGACTGGTATCGATTGTCAAATTAATGCTCATTTCATTTTCGCACTTTGAATGTAGAGGATTTACCAATACACTGATTCTTTTTCGACCACACTGCATATTCAATAATTAGTATAGGTCCAGGTAAAGTTTGGTTGTTGAACTGGTCATTACAAGTTGCCTGACAGGCAACTTGTAATGACCAGTTCAGGTATATGTGAGAAAAATTCCATTGATGTAGATATATTTAATAGTAGAAGAAAAACGTTTAAATGGGAGAGGGGATTAATTACGGGTGAGAATGGTATTACTTATCTTTTACACAGAATAAGGAAAGACAGGATAATAAACTTGGCACATTTTTAACAGATCCAGTGTTCCACTCTAATTTATTACTGTTAATCATTGTACACTAACTATGTGCAACATAACATTGGCTGCATCACTTTGATTTGCCCTTCCTGTGCAAAATATTATGCCTATTGAGCAAGAACACTTATACATGTCATGTTCTTATCACGTTAAAAGTTACATACTGATAGTGATATGTTAAGTTATACATGTGCAACAGTATAATGATATAATCTACATGCAGTTAAATATTACATTTATTATGTTCTTAAACTGCTGAAATTTAGTGACAGCAATTCAGTGTTTGTTCAATATTCTACAAAGCTACAGTCATACATAACAATTTAAAATCAGATACATTACAGCTTCGTATACCTACTGTTCATTTTGAATGTAATATTCAATTCATTTAATTCAAGATCCAATACAACATGATTGTACATGCATGTCAACTTTGGCACCATGCACTTCACTTTTACCCTGTAAAACCAGTTGCAATATTGTAAACCAAAAAGCTAACATGCTACATGTACATGTACTAAGATATTAAGCTATGTTCACTTTACTAACATGGCATATACAACGTGCTTTTACCTGGTTAATTCTAACATGTTGTGTTGAAACTTTAATCAATTATTAGATGCGTCTCTGTATGTAAAAATGCATACACAGGGCGTGAAATTAATTTTTCTTTCTGATAGCCACTTGGCTCCTAAATTCTTCAAAGTGGTAGCCAAGTGGAAAAAAGTTGGTCGCCATTTTCAAAGACAAACAAAACCTTCCTTTAAGCTGTCAGCATTCTAGATAGACCCTCCAAAATTAAGTTTGGGAAAAGATCTTTAACATGCTACAAAGTGGACACTAGGATGGACGATATATAACGTTAAAGCTCACTTAATTCCAAGATGGCGTCTAGTTATCAATCGAGATGCATCTGTTACGTTTTGGAAACAAACTTAACGAGGAAGTTTGCGACGGATTTATCTTTGCAAATCTTTTTAATTCACTATATCTCTTGGCAAGGTTATGATGAAACATTCAAGTCGCCAATTTTTCGACTAATTTCCAGGATTTGGTCGCCAAAGTGAAAAAGTTACGGTAGTCGCATTGGCGCCTGTATTGGGCGCAATTTCACGCCCTGATACATGCTGAGATATATTTATTTCATGCAGTGTGGTCGGTGAAATAAATTCCTATATTTACAAATCTAAAACATTTAAAAATTACTGAGCCACCCCTCATGACTACTCTATTCTTCATGTGCAGGCAACAGCGTAACATATTCAGACATGTGGGATGTGGAAAGATGAGTAGTTGGAGGCTGGAAGACATTTGGAAGATTTTGTAGACACAACTGACATTCTCTTGTTGGATCATAAATTGGTAGCTCCTCCCCATAGTTCCACACCTTTAGTGCCACTAGCTGCATGCGTCTTGGAACTTGTCCATCAGGTGTACAGGTAACTCCCTCAAGTACTGTTGGGTTGAATGACCTCTGTCCCTCCAGTGCAGATGTTCCCTTGGCAGAAACCTTCCATTGAAGTTTAAGTTTGTGACCATCTGCTTTTAGTGACTGAATTGTTTCTGGTAAGTTATTGTTTACTTTCTTTTCTACCCAAGCTCTAGGGTAAACATCCTTTGCAGTAAGTGACCCATGTGTGCAGTTTTCTCTAATCTTGTTTAGGTTCTTTCTTGCCTCTTGCAAAGTGTCTGTGGTGAGCATTTGGGTATATTCTTTCATTCTTTCTTCGTGAACTTCATGTGCTGCTTCTGTGGTCCTGGTGTTGGTTTTTCCACTTTGCAGAATATTTTCAACAAATGTCATTGAGGCCTGTTTTGATAACTCTGACATGTTATCATTAAAATACAGTTGAGAAAGGTTGAACTGTCTTTCAGCAAGAACATTGTTAACTGGAACACTGAAAATGTGCTTGGCATAGAACTCAAATAGGTTTGGAGTGGCTTCTTTACTTATGAGTGAGCTGTGTGGTGATGAAGCAATTTCTTTGATCTCACTGAGCAATTGTGGTTCCATCAATTTCCAAAGAGTGGCCCATTTAATCAATCCAACTCTATCCTTAGACACCAATGTTAGAATGTTCTGTCCATGTACATGAAAGAGATTGTTCACTGACTTTTCTTGTTGATTTTCAGATCTGACTGGAATTTCAAGAAGCTTTAAAACTGAATGCTAGAAAGGACTTTGATATCTCTGATCAGCTCCCATTCCAAACAACTTGGGAAAAGTTAACCACTCTGCTCCATGATCTTTGATTACTTTAATTGCTTCTTGTAACATTGGCCTCTGCACTTGTTTGTGAAAATGGTTGATAGCTGCTGGGTCCTTTAATGACATCTTCACCTGTTGTGATGTTAAAGGAAAATATTCTGCAGGAGACATCAACATTTTACTTAAAGTTTCATGGTGCTTCAGAACAGTTGCTGGCCATAACCTTGCTAGGTAACCACTGGAGAATCCAAGTTCTGCATCACTAGCTTGGGATGTATTTAGAGATGGGATGATAAACTTATCAAGGAATTCAAATAAAAACTTGATTTCAACTTGAATCATAGGACTGGAGCTCAGCTTAATGACATCTTGCCAAATAGTCTGGTGGCTATCTGATTTTGGCAATCTTTCAAGAAGACACTCAGCGAGCTGTAAACAAGCTTTTCCATACTTAAGATACCACTGGAGAGTTTCATGATAATATGTCCACCTTGCGTCTATGAATGTCTGGGGAAGGGGTGGCTCTTTACTTAGAATACCAAGAGAAACATACACAACTTTGTATTGGCTTGGACGCTCATGATGGAGCCAAGATATTTTATAGAGTAATTGTAAAACATGGGGGTTGCTCATGTCACCCTTGGCCCCAAACCCAGCCTGCACATTCTTCTCAGCATAATGTTTAGTACATGTGGGTAGCATCCTACAAAAAAAATCTCTTTTCCAAAAATTCTGGCATTGTTAGCTAAAAGACCGTTTACTTTTCCCGTTTGGGTAGAGGCATTGTCCCCAACCAACCCTGAAACATTGGTAATATCATATTCATTTTTTACAACGTGGTAATCTACATCATACAGGTGTTTTCCAGACCCGCTTGCTGTAAGGCTGTTTGCAAGGACATAAGCTCGTGGCTTGCTCTCTAAGGGACACCAGGTGTGAACACCTACTACGTGCCTCTCCTCTCCTCCTTTGTGGGAGTCATCACTCCAGAGATGAAAATCTTACTTGGAATTTGAAAAGCGCTTGCGTAAAATTAGTTTGTGGGCTTCACCTCAGAGAACATTCCAGTCAGAAAGTGTAGTTGGGGAGACAATGAAGTTTGTTGGGGGGCTACAATTAAACAAAATATTGAAAATCAGATGTAATGCTACAGGTGTCTTTTGATATGATAACAAAGATGCATGTTGCATGTATCTGACACGAGCCATAAACATCAAGGTCCTTTGGTTGTGTCCATTGTGACCATGAGCAAATGTCTCCACAAGGGAATACCCTTTTTTGGCAATTTCACTGTTGCCCTGTAATTTCTGTTTTAGCTTTGAGGAAGCAGATCTTGTCCCCCTTAGCTTTTGTCTGACTTGTTTTTCCTTTTTTTCAGTAGACGTCAGTATTTTTTGACACTTTTTAAGTTGAGTTTGAAGCCTCAACACGTCCTTTTTCAATTGGATGTTCCTTCCTTTTACAAATACTGAAATTATGAAAAGGTGACACAATAAAAATTAGTTAAATGTAACTGATTTCACATGATAGAGTATTGAAACAGAATACAAAGTAAAAATGTCCTGCCAGAAATCTTATCGACCAGGTATATTTTGAATGTGTAGTTTAAATTTGGCAAAAACATTGTTATCGCAATTGCAAGGTTGAATAATTGAAACTATTGTGTTTCCACGGTGGTCAGTACGCAGATAATTTTGTTCGTGTTGATAAAAACTTCTAACACAAGCCTCAAAACTTCACTCCTAAAACTCTCGATACTGTGTGACACTCAAAGATACGCGTCCTTATGATCTGCTGACCGAAAAAATTAACTTGCCAGTACATTTCTTTTCTTAGGTACGAACCTTTAGAGGGAATCCAGTCCGCAGTTTAATTTTTTGCTTTTGAGTGCGCGTACTACCTCCCTTGCGTTAATCGCCGCTCCAAATAGTTAAGCAAGAAAAAGCCTGAAAATACTGACCATGCAGCCATATCTACTACTTTGTCTTTATTTTCGAGTTTTTTTTTTTTTGGCTTCTGTTCGGTGGGAGTATTATCGGTTTATGATTAAAATCCTCTTAAAGTAGTGTCATTAGCGATCGCGTAAGTTAAAACCGCCGAAAATTCAGAATGGGAATGAAAATCATTCATTGTAGTTCGTGGTTCAGGCAATCTGCAGTATTATTCTTAGACATTTGCAAGTCTGCATTTCCATTCCGTCCTGAAATAATATCACTAATCTATACTGCGTCGTAAGGTTTTGACTGTTCCTTTTAGATTGGCGTTTTCAGACCTCAAACTCTTGCACTCTCTCTTGAGTCGATCGATTTTTTCTTCACTTAAAAAGTTGCAAACTTGCACTGCAATGCTTTTCTTTCAACTTTTTCAAAATAATCTTCATGTTTTCTCTGCTTCTTTTTGGCTGGTGGCTGATTTTTACTAGAAAACTGGCTGTCATGAGGTCTTTTACGAGCCATCAGGAGTTCTCGTCAGCGAGTCGGCCGGCCATTAATTAACACAAATCTGCAACTTTGATGTAAACAACCCTCGGCATGAGCCCGCGTTCCTTTTATCAGGCAGTGTTACAAAGTAATGTAATCTACGCATGTCTGAGATTTCAAGGGGTTACGGTTTCCATGGGTGGGGTATCTTTCCGTGAGGCCTAAAATTGTCTACTATCAAAATCCAATCCTGATGCTCCTGAGACCAGTTTTTTGAATTGATTGCCTTCCACCTGCACCCACGAAAGGAGAACTTTTTCTTTCCTAGAGTAAAAGCAATGAATGAGTATGAGAAAAATAATATTTTAAGCATCTCCAGAAACTCCACCTATCTCCACATTATACTCACCAAGCACAATGCAGTTCTTGGTTTCACAAAAGGTGTATCTCAAAGACAACAACATGGTTGAAAACCAATGGGTCAGAATTTGATCCACTGAATGATAAAAAAAACCAAATATTTTCAGTACACCAAAATTTTTATGAAGCACACAAATTATGTTAAAACTTGTTTTTTGCATTGATGTACCACCCCAAATAATCTGGTTATATCTGCAAGAAACTTGTTAAAAAATGAAACAATGACACACAAGGAAAAATAGTGACGCATTACTTTTTTGAAGAATGTGACTTGAATTTCAGCTTCATAGGTTGCAAAGTGATCCTGCTGCTGAGGGTAACTATCTGTTTTGGCTTTCCTCTTTCTCTTCTTAGGCTCACTTGGAATAGCTGCCAGTTTTTCAGACAAACTGCTTAACTCTAGGAACTTTGCCTCAGTCTCCTTTTTGCCTCATTTCCCATTCTTCTCTCCTACTGCTTAGAAACTTAAATTCTGAAATAAATGTGTCAATGTATAATTAAAAAGTTTTGTTTCTGTTAAATTTATCCTCTTGTAATGTTATGCTTCCAATCCCAATCCCACTTAAAATTATCTCATATTTTACTCCATCTGACATTGTAGCTCTTTGTATAGCAGTGCAATTTTTGCTTTTATTGATTGTTTTTACATATTTGTTAATTAAGGGCCACAGGTTAGACAGTTTTAAATTCCATAGAGTTAAAATAATTTACCCTCATGAAATTGAGTCTACTATTATCAAGCATAATGAGTCTATTATTATCATGCATGATTATTTTAAACTTACTGCAATTTTTTTTTTGTATGCTGGCCTTTCCTTGTTCAAAACCATAATCACGAGGCATCTCTCCTGATTCCAGCATATCAGTTACGTACTACAAAAAAGACAAAAAAGAGACACTACGTTTCCTTGACTAAAAACTAATTTTATTGGCTAAAATCACTGAAATTATAGTGGTTAGGCTGTGCAATGTCCCTACCATTTTTTGTTCTTCAAAAAATATATAACCCACGGTGAGTTCCCTTCCTGAACCTGGGCACTCTTTGTAATAATTAATTACTTTACTCATTGGCAGTTATCTCTCCACAATTGTGTCAAAATTCTTCAGAACCTCTCTTTCAAAAGACCCTTGGAAAATACCATGAAATTCAGTTAACTTAATTGGTTAATACAGTCAAAACATTTAATAAAACAAATCCTACCTTCAAATCCAATAAAAATGTTAAACAAAGTTGACCATGATATGAGCTCTATTTATTTAAGGTGAATTCACATTGTTTCATGTTTAGAGGACAATAATATTGTCTTATAGACATGTATAGAAATGATGTCTGTGAAAAATGAGTTTTTGGAGCTTTCACTCATCATCCTTGAATGGATAAAATTATCAATTAAATTGTCTCAAGCAGCATGCTTCCATAAATCTAGCTTGATACCTCTTAACTTCTTAACTTCCTGTTCATGTTTCAGACATAATTAAATTGATACCAAGTAATTCATGTACATTACAACAGTATGTTTTTCAAATTTGTGGCAGATGTAAGTGTTTAAACCAAGACTGAATGAAGAAAAATGCTACTCAGAAAATGATAAAAAGTCATTATAGGTTAAGAACAAAATTGGTAACTGAGTACAAATGTGTTATTTCAGTTAGCTAACCTGAAAAAGATGCTACTTTGATGTTTTTCCTCTCCACTGCTGTTTGCTGTCCAGGTTTTGGTTTCGCTGTTACCCTCAGAAAGCCTTTAAAGTTTTCAGGCCCATGGTGGGACAAGACTTCATTGAGTGAATCTAATGAGCCAACACGATGAGCAAAGAGACCCAATGAGCCCAATAGTTGTTCACAATTACTCATCTCACAATGCAAAGAGCAAAGATATATACTGCTGAGGTCTTCTTCAAGCAAAAATATGAGATCATCTCGTAGACCTGTAGACCTAATAGGAATGTTTCAAAAACAAAAATATATAAAGCAAAATAAGATGTAACCCCTTGTTTGTGACCCTGAAGATTGAGCACCAAGCCAAACTCTTAAAAGTGTTTTACTTACCTGCCAATATTAGCTTTAGATCTCAGACAATCGAGACAGGTCTCATCAGGGTCAACACCATGGCGTGTGCATCCTTATAGCTTTGCATGACAATTTGTATTTTGACCATTAAAATCAACCTTCAAGGATAGAGTCTGTTACCAGTGACAAATACAGTCCTTGAACTTCACACAACAACATTTTTAACAAGGAAGTCACTTTGCATTGTTTGATGTAGAGTTTTTTAGGTGCAAAATATAAGATGCTTACATAAGGTTTCCACATGGACCCCCAAAAAATAAAAACTGTGGAAGACACTCAATATCTGATAACAAATTAGAAAGACATTTCGAGCCACACAACTAGGTAAATGCCATACAAGGAATTGCAATCCAATTTTAAAGTGAGAAACAAAGTAATTCAATTTGCTGTGTGCACTTACCCTCACTGCATCACAGAAGGCACAGAATTCACCATACCCTTTCCCACCAACAACAAAGTCTAGATCATTGCCCCTTAGCAGTAAAAGCAGTAAGGCTTTGTAATTAAGGGTAACTGCAATTTTTTTTAATCAAGAGAAGTGATAAGAATTAACTGAAAAGCTGACATCCATGTATGAACTGAATAATAATTATAATAATGATTTAATTCTCACATTAATTGTGTATAGGACGTGTTTGCCATTGGAACAACTGAAAGGACTTTTGACTGTGATTAAATCTACTTCAGTCAGTACAAAAACTAACATCCACCTCCTTTAAGAAGTGTGAGGGGTTTTATTCTGAGTAGTGTGCCATTTTGAACAACATGTTGCAAGTCCCTGGCTATAAGGCTCATGCATATCCACCTGCCAGTGAAATTGATGTGGCACTTTTCCCCATCAACAGTAATTCCACCTTTTTTAATATCACACTTCTGGACATTCAAATTGGATATCAGTTGTTTGAGTTGTTCCCTAGAATAATTATAATAAACATAAGCGAGAGAACACAGTAAAAAATTTGCTCTTACAAACTAATGTAAAATCATCAACAATATTCTAAGAAATTCTCATATGAATTTAAACCTTTTCTCACTAATGATCCGATTTTTACTGACCAAAAATCATTGATGACGTCTTATGGCTGCAAGCACCAGTAAGTCTGTTATGATATTTATTGAGAGGTAGTAAAATGGGACTAACCACTAAAAAACTTACATTTCAGTAATAACTTACCCACAAGGCAAACAATGCCTTACTTGATAACTACTTTGTGAAGTATTTACTGGACAAATATTTACCTCCAAGAGGACGTCCATCCAGTTTTATATTAAACTCCACTCTATCAGTATCTGGTGAGAACAGGCGTTGTTCTCATATGGCCCATACTATTACTGACACAAGGTCCACACCATAGGAATGGAAATCTGTAGGCATCTTTTGGATGGACAGCGTTTTGTGTACAACCTTAAAAACTAGCTTTTCAACTGCCCGAATATCATTTTTTGACAAGAGAATAGCAGTGTCATTGGTGTGCTACAAGCAAAAAAAATGCCGTTTACATACAAATATTTTAGAATCAGCACAGTTACATAATCAATATGTAAAAGTCCTTTGTTGTCCAAGCTTGTTAGTTTAAGATGGCAGGATGTTGGCCTTAACTTGTTCTTCATTTGTGCTTGTGGACCAAGATGAAGTTCAGGTCCATAAACTTACTTAAAATTGGCCAATACCCTGGCATTTGGGAATTACTTTTGGAGCTACAGCAAATTCTTCAAGCAGAAAATCTGTACACCGATTTGACATACCCACTTCTATTGCTTGCCATAGAAGTATAGCTACACTGCAGTTGTGATTAAGATAACTTATTTCCTGCTAACTACGAAATAAGACTTTGGTGGAAGGTTGAGAGGTGTGGTTATCTGGAATCACCTGGGATCATCTTGGTGGTCTTTCCTATCTTCTTACCATATAAAATTTTAGGTCTTGTGATTTTAGCTACTTGCCCATAAGATTAAAATCAGGATTCAAATTTTTGGGAACCATGAAATTCTTTGGGGGGGGAGCCTTTAAACTTCTCATAAAGCTATAAAAAGTTATTATACTCTGAACATAATACCCTGAGGTTATAAGGTCAAACTTACCCCACTTCTTCCAAGCTGAGTGAGATTAAGAAGAGTTTGCCATACAGCATCTGGTAATTTTGCTTGCAATTTAAAATAGAGCAAGACCCAATCAGGCACACACATACTCTTCAACAGCTCTTGATAGGTGGTTGGTAAGAGGAGATCTGTTACTCCTTTCTTCACTCCATGAGCATCCATGACTAAATTGACCACTTCTGATATGGTTTCTGAGACCTTTGCTTTCTCTGCATCAATGCCATTAAATAATAATAATATACAGGCAAGGGTCTCATGATACTTTTCCAACACATCATGTAACTCGGACTATACTTTCCTGCATTCACTGGCATTTTTTCTCTTCTTTAAAGTGGAACCTAGAGTTGGATTGTTGAATGTTTTTTCAATAACACTTCTGTTGGTGGTATTGGTACTGCAGGGGCTGCTGGTGCTGCAGGGGCTACTGGTGCTGAATGGGCTGCTGATACTCCAGGGGCTACTGATGCTGCTTGGGCTGCTGGTGCTGCTTGGGCTGCTGGTGCTGCAGGGGCTACTGGTGCTGTAGGGGCCACTGATGCTACAAGGGCCACTGGTGCTGCATGGACTGCTGAAACTGCTGATGTCTCTGCTGTCCCTGTAGCACTCGTTATTTAAAGAAGAAGAAGAAGGAGACGAGGCTGCTAATGGAGGGTAGCAAGGCATAAATGAATTTAAATAACTATTACTTCTTTCAAGTTCCCGAATCTTGTGATCAAGCTCCGCTATTCTAGACTGACATTTTGACATTACTTCCATTAGGTATTTCCCACCTAAACTGTCCGCTATTTCAAAATTTAGGGCCATTCCATTTACCGCATTAACTACAGGAATAATGTTTTGAGATCGCACAAATCCATGTGCTGGAAATTCTCTCTGTCTAAGTAGTCCGGCACAGAGACCAAACGAAGAAACAACATACGAGTTGCCTGGTTGCCTGGTTGCCTGGTTGCCTGGTGTTGAATAAACCGCCATTTTTGGCAGGCTTGAGGCCTGCTGGCGGAACAGACCATATTTCATTGGGGAATTGACGAAATATTTCACTCTTTGCAAAAGCATTTGGCCTGATCCCACATAAACTTTCCGTTAGCACGTACCAGAGCTTTTTGGGGTCGAGATTGGATCCCTTAACTCTGCAAAGTTTAATCGAGCTATCAAAGACTTCAGTCTCCATGATGAGATCGCGCCAAATGATTCTTATCCAAGATTCATTGTGTTTTCTAAATTGAAACTCGTGCCTAAATGAAATATTAATTATTAAGTGAACCTTTAACTTTTATAAAACCAAACCACAATAGTTGGAAGATTCCTTGCCGAGCTGTGCGTGGCGCACAAGTAAACAATACATGATGTTACGCAATGTACATGCAAACGAAGCAAGTGATCTGGGTTCTAAACTTTGAAATTTATTTTCAGTAATACTTCTTATTTATAACGAGACTGAGTCACAAGATACCCAGAAATGCAAGAGTATTTAAATAGAGCACTATTTTACCACGAATCTTAAATACAGTTAAAAAGGTTACATGCATTTGTATCGATTTTGCGGCATTCTTCTCAACGCAAATTGTTTTCTCCTATTTTTTACTGCTTTAACTTAGTACAGTATTTCCATATAATTCAAGAACGCTTTTAATTCTTTGTGACCTGTAGATTGATCTTAATGACATGTCCTGTTTTCATTAACTGCAGAGACACCTACAAACTGCAAGTGTTAATGTAATTATCTAAGTTGTTGACAGAATGATAGCACCTCTGTAGAATACATGCTGCGAATTTTTTTCTGAGCCAAAGCTCCTCATGGGTTACTGCTGGACAAATGTGGAGATGTGGGGCATTTGACTTGCCAAAAAATATATGAAACATGTTTTTTACAAACACTTTAACGTTTTTCTTTAAATGAAATGTGATGTTTCTTGTTTCTTAATTTTCCTGGAAAGCAAGTCCTTATATTTCGAATCATGCCATAAGGTAAGCTAAGTCAGATTCTCACATGGGGATAGAAAGATCAATCAAATTTCCCATTATTATGTTCATTAATACGATGTCAAGTGGATACACTTAGCAGGTAGAGGCCTTACCAGTGAAACAAAAGCAGTTGAGAGGATTCTGAATAGGCCTTATTCGTATTCCCGGACTGGTCTGGGACGAGTGTTTTGTTTCGCACGAAAGCGAGGCTCATGCGGGGGAAAAATACCCTTTGACACAGCTGGAAAAATACGGAGAAAGTCACTTTGGTTCGCAGTATTTGACGGCAAAATCATGGTTAAACATAACTGCTGTGCATATGGCTGCTCCAACAGCACTGAAAAACAAAAAAACCATCTGAAATATCCAGAACTCAAAGGAATAACGTTTCACACTTTTCCTATCGGCGACCGAAAGAAGACTTACGCACCCGGAATGAATGAAAACGAGAGAAGAAAAAGGTGGATAGCTGCTTGTCGTTTAAGCAGTTTAAATGTCACAAGACATACAAGAATTTGTTCAGCACACTTCGAAGGTGGTTTAGGACCCTCAAAGCTTAATCCTGTCCCAACAATTTTCAGTTTCCCGACTCATTTGCAGCCCAAAACCCGACGGAAGCGAACAGATCCAGAGGAAAGGAGACGAGGAGCTTTGAGCTGCATACAAAACAAAACCAAGACTGCACCAAGGAGACAAGCAGGTAAAACTGACAAAAACAAGGAAAACCCGGAACCATTGGGCCTGTCATCACAACTGCAGGAAACTGCGTGCTCGAGCGACATGGATTTTATTTTTTCTGAAGAGTGTGAGATTAAAACTGAACAGACACCTGATCCAAGATCCCTTGCAGACAAGTGTATCCAAACCGACCTTACCTGTGAAGATATCGACTGCATGGAAGCAGCCAAAGCTAAACTGGAAAATAAACCAGAACTGAAGAGAGAAATGTTTATAGACGACGTCCTAAAAAAGCAACAAGTCCGTGTGTTTTCTACACTGGATTGCCCTCCTATGCCTGTCTTATGATGTTGTTTCCCTTTCTGAAACCATTTGCAAATGCAATGAAATATTGGGACAACAAGAAAAAGGGACAGAGGGAAACGTATCAGGTATCTTAATATTATTACACAGCAGTCTTGTTAATATTTCCTTTCATTTGTTTTGATGAACATTATGGCATAAAATGTTTACACAGCAGTCTTGTTAATATTTCCTTTCATTTGTTTTGATGAACATTATGGCATAAAATGTTTCATGTTTGGTATAAATAGCAATATAGACCCTATGCAAAAATGGGTACCTTTGAATTTTTTTTTTGTTCGTATTCAAAATAGCCTCACTAACCTCGATCGGGATAACATATTCTTTACAAATTTTGTCTCAAAAAAAACGACGTTAGCGAGGCTTTTTAAATATGAACAAAATGATAATATATGCATAGGGTCTATAACATGATATATTATGTTATTATGATTTCCAACTATGTGATAATTGCCTAAACATTTTGCTTCAGCAACTCAACTGCACGTTTTTACTTTTATTACAGGAAGATGAACATGTTAACAAGCCGGGACCAAAGAGGCAGATGCCATTATTTTCTGAATTTTTAATGGTTCTTATAAGACTCAGGCTTGGACTGTTACAGAGTCACCTGGCAGACATTTTTGCAATTTCACAAAGTTCAGTTTCCAAGATTTTTACAACTTGGATTAATCTTTTGTATCATGTATTTAAGGAAGTTCTTATAATATGGCCTGCAAAGGTTCAAATTCAAAAGCACATGCCTAAGAGCTTTAGTAGGTATCCTCGGACCCGTGTAATTATTGACTGTACAGAGTTTTTTATAGAGAAGTCCACTCAACCTTCAGCTCAGAAAATTACTTGGAGTGATTACAAGTCACATAACACTTTCAAACTCTTGGTTGGTATTTCACCCACTGGAGCCTTCACATTTGTCTCTAAACTTTGGTCTGGTGGGGTCTCTGACCGAAATATAACTCAGAAATCTGGACTGATAGACAAGCTGGAACCTCTAGATGATGTGATGGCTGATAGAGGATTCAATATTAGAGATATGGTCACAAAGAAAAAGGCCACATTAAACATTCCCCCCTTTGCAAAGGGGAAGTCCCTTTCAACAAAGGCATGTACAAAAACCAGGAGAATAGCTGCAGTTCGCATACATGTGGAAAGAGCAATCCAGCGGCTCAAGTGTTTCCGAATTTTACGTGGTGTGATACCTATCACCCTTGCTGCAGTTGCTGATCAGACTGTGTTTGTATGTGCAGCACTGTGTAACTTAATGAAGCCTCTTGTTTCAAAGTAAATGTCTAAATAATTTTCTTATGTCTGTATAAATCATATGATTTTTGATCGAACTAAAAAAAAACAATGAGCATGTAACCCCTTACAGTAGCTACTATACTAGGTATAAATGGAATAGTTATGCATTTACATAGGCTCAATGTCACGAAAGGTTCATATTTGGAAGTTGAGTTTCTACATTATATGTATATTTATTTATCTGTACTATATAACACTGTACGGTTCTGACCATATTTAACCTTTGGAAAAGCTAGTTCTGGTAAAATGACCGAGTCAAAAAAATGAATCCAGCTTAACTAGCACTGGAGACCAAAACTCTTGATCAAACAACACTTTCTCAACATAAATACCACCATCCCTGCCACAAGCAACAAATATGCCCCAGGGATACGTTGTTGCAAACATTTGTTGATGTAGTTGATAAAAGTATTTATGATTTCTATTAAGGGCTATACCATTGCTTCTTTTTTATACAAATATGCTGTTTCAGTAAAATATCTTCAAGGGTTTCCCCTGACTTCACCTGAAGAAATTTCATCTCAACCACACCTGGGCTAGACTCAGACTGATCATATATTATTCTATCTGGAGAGGCACCAATATGTCCATGGGTCTTGCTAATGACAAATCCACACTTTTCGACTTTTATATCAGAATATCCATTCTGTTTCATGTATTTTATTAGTGCCTGTTCAATTTCATCCTCCTTTGCCAAGCCCTCCTTCATGGCAGCTGTTAAAGGCACTTGGTTGTAACTCAAAACTTCCTTTAAAGCTTTAGTTGGAGATGTGGTTAATTTCAAGCTTGCAATACGTTTACAATGAGAAGCGGTGATTCTTCCTGTTCTGTACTGAAACCAGTCAATGGCATCACTCTGCAGTTTTGTTTTTTTCCACTGCATCAATTTCATCATCTGTAAACTGAAGTTTTCTTTTTATTGCCTTGCCCCTTTCTTTAATCTCATCCAGACTGGGTGGCAAAGGTTTCATTGGTGATAAAGAATCTAATGTAAATGTAGTAACAATTGAATTTTCCTCTCTTATGTCATTTACATTTTCTGAATCAAGTTGAGGATGTTGACCATTACATGTGTCTGGGTCAGGTAACAGATGCAGTAATACAGCTGAAGGAACAGTTTCAGCAACAAGCTTTCTAAAATTCTCAGCCAAATTTACATTCGTATCATATGAAGTTCTGGGGTCATAAGTATCACACCTTGGTTTTAGTCGCTTCTTTTTCTCTTTGTTCAGTGTGGGTTTTGTAAAATCCATGGCTGATCCTTTTGTCATGCCCTCATGAGTCCTCTTCCGTTGTTTCCAAGTGCACTTTCTCCCTGTGCAAGTTATTACAACATTTTCTCTCAGTGTAGCTTCAAGGTCAATAAGCGAGGCACCAATGTGCCGGCAAGCACCATCAGCCCTGATCAAGAAATTAGGAATTAAGAAAAGTTTCAACAGATATATTGTGATGACCAGAGTCAAAGTTTTGAATACTAGATAAAAGGAAATTATTCTGAAAGCCATAGAGATCACATACACTTGGGCATAGTATAAAGATGTCTTCAACAATTTGGAAACGAAGTACAAAATTTCGCAAAGCTGCAAATTATTATTTTCATTAACACTTCAACATTGTGTCAGTTGAACAGATCAATCTGGATTTATCATTTAACACATACATAAATCAAATTCATTTTTTAAGATGGCCAAATATTAGCCGAGGCAGCAGAATACACACCCTCCTATACAAGGGTAATGCGCTGTGTAAACTGATCCATCTGACTGAATTATTATCCATCCATCGTAAGTTGGTTTCTGTCCGACTTGCGTTTTCTCTCGTTCCGTTGGCTTTACTCCAAATTTAACGTAGTGGTATCCATTGAACATGGTTCGTACGCTTTTGACTTTCTGACATTCCATGACTTTCCATGACTTTTTCCATGACCTTTTCCGATTTTCCATGACCCAATTGTTCAAATTATTTTTCTCAATATATACTTACAGTACCATCAATTCGTTTTTTCCTTGCATGTTAACCAAATTGTAGAAAAGAAGAAGATGCTAAGACCAGTTAAATTCATACGTATAACACGGAATCTTTATTTCCGTGCAACAAAATGACACAAGTGCAACAACACGACGTAAACAGATACTTTTTTACTAAACTTTACAGTCCAGAACTATATCTTTTAAATTTCCTAAGATAAACTTTACAGTCCAGAACTATATCTTTTAAAATTTCCTTATAAAACTGTACAGTCCAGAACTATATCTATTAAAATTTCCTAACAAAATCTATACAATGCAGACTTAATTTCCTAACAAAATCTGTACAATCCAGAACTATATCTTTTAAAATTTCGTAACAAAAACTGTATAATCCAGACTTAATTTCCTAACAAAACCTGTACAGCCCAGAACTATAAAATCTTAATTTCCTTACAATACAGTCATTGTTTCAGTGTTCACAATTGCAGTATGAGGTTTCAGTTTTCATCTACAATATAGAAAAATATATGAGTGCATCCTTGTATGAACAAATCTATTTGTTCAATGGTTAAATGCTTGCAATTCTGGTAAATAACTTCAAGAAAGCAGTACTTTTGGACAGGTTGTCACTCGGACTTATTTATCACACTCTTCCAATTCCTTGTTTAAGTTTTCTAGTTCTATCTTCTTCTCCTTTGCTGCATTTCTGAGTGCATTTGATTCGGTTAACAAGACGAGCTGCCTCTTCACCTCAGCCTCTTTAGCTAATTTGTCAGCATCAAACTGTAAGGTGGTGATCTCTGTTTCAAGTCTCTTCTTTTTCTTCTGGAAATCAGCTTTTGCTTCATCCACAGATTTTCGTTTGTGGCTTTTGGCAACATTTTTCGCAAGCTGTCGCTGCTCTTCAAGATGGGCGTGATACCGCTGTCTTCCTGCTTTAGCAGAGGTAAGAACTCGTTCGAAATGACCAATTTATGAAATCCATCAATACTCAATATGTGGTCATGAATGGTGCGTTGGGCAACGAAAGTGGTCTCCTTCATATTCTCAATCATTAGCTGTCGGTTAACGGAAAATCCCCTTTCTACACTTGCTTGCCCATGTGAGAGACACAAGAGGAATTTCACAACGTCCCACAGTTTGGAAAGTGAACCGACAAGACCAATGTGTTTTTGGAGAAATGCATCCAATCTCTGATCTGTAAAGTCAAAGTCTTCAAACTCAGACTTGTGCACCTGTGTAGCCCGTTCCGTAAATTCACTGTACTGTGACAACAAAATGTCACAATCATGAATATCAACCCTCTTGCATTCTACCAATTTCTTGAGGACAATCTTGAACCTCGCACAGCTTGCTTCTTTCTCTGTCACAATATGAATCGGATCCAAACAGCACAGGTTCCTGGCAAGGGAATAGGCAATTGGGGTCTTCTCAATAAGTTTTCCAACTGTAGCTGTAAGGAACGACTGGAATTCCTTCCTAAATTCATATGTCTGACGATCACTGATTTTCTTGGCTGCTTGCAATTCTTTCAGCTTCGTGGCAGCAACAAAACCAACATCCAACTTCTCCACGTCAAGGCAATTCTCCCTCTTCTTGAAGTCAATCTTCAGAAGCTTTACTGCAGAGCTGGCACCCTGGAGTACATCAGCTTTGACGAACCTTTTCATGAGACCACGAATCACCTTCTCTAGACTGCTGGCCACAAATGGTAGAAGAGGGCTGTCGCTTTGGAACTGTACCAGAAATGGTTGCAGCTGTTTAGCCACTGACTCAAAAGCAGCAAATTTGAGAGGCATTAGTGGATCTTGGGTTGAATCTCTTATCGTCTTGTAGGACTTTGAAGTTGGCACACTATATTTGCTGCTACGTTGCACCGTTGTCACATAGAAAGTGACTTCTTTCCATATTTCCTGGGCCCGTACTACAACTGGCAGGTTCTCCAGCCATCTGTGCTTGCAGTACTTAATTGGAAATACAACACTGCTGGTTATTTCTGTGTAATCCTCTCTTCGTGCTGGTGAATCCACAAATAACCAATGAAGAGAAGACAGAACTTCCTGAATGCTCCAAGTAGATGCCTTTGATCCAGCTTTGAAAGCATTGTGTACAATGTGAAGTCCACAAGAGCCTACGTTAACTAAGATGGGTGCGTTTTCGTCAACCTCAGAGATCAGTTCCTGGAATAGCTCATGCAGTTTCCAATTCACGTTAGGCCCGTCCATTGACAACTGCAATATGTTGGACTTCTGAATCTTGATACTATCAAGGTAGCTAACGATCTTTTCCAAAAGGTCGTCGGCTGTAGCATGTCCCAGAAATACAGAGGTTAGGTACCTTGTCTGCACTCTGGAGTTCTTTGCATCCCAAAACCTAACATGCAGATCCATCTGCTTGGTTTGGGTAACTTTATTGTGCGATTCATCAAAAAGTAAAACAAACAATTCAAGTTTTGTGACTTCATCCGTAAGCTTACGTTGGATATAGGGTGCTATGCCAAAACAAGCTAAGTAAGCACATTTTTTCTCGCCACAGGAAAACTTGCTGGCTATCTGGCTGTCGGAAACATACGTTTAAATAGTTCTGGAATGTCCTCACAGCTCTTGTAACTATAGTGAGACAAGATTACTTTCAGTGCCCACAAAACTTCTGCAGCAAGTGTCTCATTTGAAGCCACATAATTTCTTATATCACCGGCACCGGAAGAACATGGCTGTTCAGAGCGTCCTACTTCATGTGAACCACGCTGGCTTCCAACAGCAGGTAAAAAGTTTCTGAGGCTGGCATTGCTACTCTCGTCTAAAATCAAATTAAAAATGTTTGTTTATGAATATCGTCAAAAATGAGCCCTAATTAAATGAATTTACTGTCACAGAAATCCTGGAATCTCAAAATTTCACAATAGCCTCATCGAAATTGCAATCCACTTATAAAAATAAACCATATTTTACAGGCGCCACAACAGAACTGAAGGAGGGGGGCTGAAGCCATAATTAATCCCAATGCTGAGCCACAAATGTCAAGGAAAAATAAAAACTCACTTTTTAGTGTATTAGTGTTGTATCGCATAGTATTAACTATTGTATAAATTTTGTATTAATAAATAAAGATGCGCTAAATAAAAAAATATGAAATGGCCGTTTTGCTAGTCCCTCATAATACATTAACTTTATATCTGAAATTTAATATACCTCCGAGTTTAGTCCCACCGGCCCCCAACCACCCCCCCCCTGCAGCCTCTCAAAAACTCAAAAGAACACTCTTGCCTAAACATCGGTACAAAAAGACATTTATTTATATTCTGTCGCTTTAGATGACAAATTCTTTTGTTCTGTTTGATTATTTTGCCGATTCTTATTACACCACAGCACTTAAATCTATGTTATACCCAATACAGGCTGCATCCTAAATGAATCACGAGTTGGTACAAATATCGAGACAAATATCTAACGCAAACATGCATTTTCTTGTCTTGATGCAAACTTTAAATTCTAGTAAATTCAAATTTGAACACACAAACGTACCTTTAACAGCATCGACGTGCTTCTTCGATTTCATGTGGCTTTTCACTGCTGCTTCTCCCATATTTTGAACAGCGAATGTCTTTTTGCATGCTTTACATTTTGCCTCTGACGAAGAACTCCCGCGTTCTATCCACTTATTATACTGCGGGTTACTCAGCCAAGCATCTTGGAATTTGCATTTTCCAGGCATTATATATTAAATCTGCTTGAATGATCGCTCAAGCTCATCTTTACCTCGTGGCAGGCCTGGTCGCATGGCGATGCTGGGACTCGGCCCCAGGTCTCAGCAAAAACGTATCACACGGTATCGGGGAAAATGCGCGTTTGTCGTTGCAAACACGTAAACAAGGAATAGTTTATTAAACAAAAACTTGTGAAAGCAAGGAATTTTCTTTATTTTCATCTCGGTTTTTGCAAAATGTCAAATTATAACAATTTTCCATGACTTTCCATGACTCTGATCGAAATTCCATGACTTTCCAGGCCTGGAATTTTTTTTTCGAAATTCCATGACTTTCCAGGTTTTCCATGACCCGTACGAACCCTGTTGAACAAGTTCTTGTTCTTCATCAATTTTAACACATGGCCATCCCAGAACAGGCGGTAGCCTTCGAACGACTTATATGCCTTGAGAGACTCGTGGTCATAACCCTCCTTATTGATTAAGTAAGCGTACATATCACCGTATGTGAAGTTCGGAAAATCAGAAAAGTCGGAAGTCCAGTCAGAGTGTAACGTGTTAGGACAGGGGAGCGAACCTTCTTTCGTCTGCAACTTGTTGACTATCACATCCTCCGGTTTCTCCCAATCGTCTATCGGTTCCAGTGAAAGATCGTGAGCCTTCTCCACCAATTCTACTAGTTCCTCCTTTCTCTTTTGCGAAACAGTTATTCCACGGCTCTGTAAATACGATTTCAACTCAGGAACTTTCCATTTTTGAACTTCACTCTCTGCCCCTCCTACGAAAGCCATATTGAAATCACAGATTCCCCCGCATGAGCCTCGACATCGTGCACTCGCCCAAGGCCGTCCGGGAATACGAATAAGGCCTATTAAAACGCTTTGGCATTGTTTCAAGAGCAGCACTGGAAATGTCATCTGTACATAGGGGCAGAAGGAATATTAGATGTTGTTAGTAATTGGATTGATTCAACAACCAAGAGCATAGATATCAGTGGCCTGCATATTCCAAAAATATGTATTTATTTAGTGGTGGAGTGAAATATGCATGTATTTGTGAAGTTGTAAAACGGCTTTGCACTTAGCCTCTAGCATCTTCATATTATTGTACTTATTAGCAATGTGACGTTCAGTTCCATCTTTTCTTTTAACTAGTTCCTTATTGGAAGAGAAAGAAGGAAGACTATTATTCCTACAGCAGTTCCATAAATGTAGCTTGCCTAAAACGATTAAGTAGTTGAACTGAGGGCATTTAGTATCTATGACACCAACTAGAATAGTCTTTAACTTGAGTTTCCTTTGTTCTTTGGCTATGGCGACCCAATACGATTCAATATCTTCCCATAATGCACGTTAGTAAACACAGTAAAAGAATAAATGATCAATTGTTTCTGCACCAATATTGCAAAAGGTGCAAATATCGCTTTGTATTAAACCTATCTTAGCTAAGTGGGAATTTGTGAATAAAACGTAATTCAGTATTTTAAACTGAAAACATTGCACATATGTTTCACGTGGTTCTACAAAATTCCAGTAATATTTCACTTGATTTTCTTATCATAACACCAGTGTCTCTTTCTTGGGTAGTTAGTATGCTCTGGTTTGAAAAATAAAGGCAAAACATAATATATGCCCAATATTGGATACTGCCTAAAACCAATGAGAAATTGCAAGGTCAGTGCGTTTTATTGAACACAACATGCAACAATCATAATAAAAAAACATCCATGGGACTCGTAGTGGCGTAACCGTAACTTGTGATGGTTAAAAGTTCCAGTAGGTCTCCACCATCATTACCATTGTAATAGATTGAGGGATTCCTAGTTTAAGTAAAACAAATGCTCAAAGTTTAAGCAGATAAAACGTGTCAGTTTAAGAACTGAACAGTCAAGTAGTGTCAACATATCAGGGGAGGAAATTCGTGTAACAAAGCAATCAGTAGGCACCAGAGTAGGATCACTGAAAAATACAGATTTGAGCTTACAACAAATCTTTGTCACAACTTCTGCAAGGTACAGGGTTGTAACAAATTACTAAATAGAAGATGGTAGAGATTATTACTATTAGTTGGCTCACCCCAACGCATCTTGAATTGTCTACTGTCAAAACAACGATGTCTCCGGAGGGTTTGCCCAACTTCATGGAGATATGGTGTTGTTGCCTCTGAAAGAAGTTCAGTGAGCATCATCAGGTCACTAAATTGATTTTGTTGACAAATTTTTTAAACTTTGTGAAGGTTGGTTCTTGAGTCGCTTATTACTTTTCAATGATAAAAAATGGGGATCACCATGCTGGTGTTTCACTTACTTGTAATTAAGCCCAGATAAGGGGTGTTTTCAAGACGCTACAGGGTTTCTATGGTAACCTGTTGTGTCAAAAGCAAGTCTCATTCATTTGTTCACCAATGATTAGGCATTTCTTTGATACCCTTTTAAAGGTTATAACGTATATCGGTTGGAAGTTGGGATAAATCAAAATAATAGCACTTGAAAATGCTGGAAACCTGAAGCAGCCACCTCAATTTGACTTAAGTACGATTACTCTAATTTAGCCTTCCTGTTGTCCTATTTTATCCAAACCTTCGTTTAATGTTATATCAAGACTTCAAGAGAAACTTTTGCCATACATAACTCACCCTGAGCTTAAATCTTACCTAGATACAGCTGTTAACGCTTACATGCAAAATATAGTAAATAATGCAAAAAATAATAAATAAGTCTTAATAGCGCTGCGTAGAGAATTTGAGACCCTTGCTGTGACTCAGACAAACAAACAGCCTCGCCTGGCATTTCTGTAAAGGCAGCATGTGAAAATATACCGCTTGCGAGTACTTCTGTTTGCCCTTTAACGGTTCTCACTGAAGTCGACAGCATTCCAGGTTCAAAATTTGAAAAAGATCTAGAAAATTATACTGTGGAACAACTGAGAAGTTGGTTAAAATGCAGAGGATTAAAACAGAGCAGAAAATGAGAGGAGCTTTTGGAACATGATAGAGACTGCATTAAGAGACTGAAATTACTGCACTCTTGATCCAGGTATCGATGATGGCAGATGGTTCACTGCAAAGGCCATTAAGGCACGTAATGATTTGAAAGGAAATTACAAATTGTTTCTGGTTCCACTCATACCAACAGTTGGCTGGCATGCTTTTCCGTCCCAGAACATTCCATCACTGTTCAACTACGAGCAAACCTATCACTATGCTCTAGAATCTATTCAACATTTCAGCAGGGAAGACCAAGACAACAGACTTGGCTACATGACAGATAAGCCAGTGAAAAACAGTATAAAAAACGGGGATTCTGGATTTGTTGTTGTAGTTTTATCTGTGAATAGTGGAGCTGTCATACATGCCTCATGTGAACCATGCAGAGCTTCGTCCTTGGGTCGCTGTAGTCATATCGTTGGTGTCCTATTCTTTATCCTGGATCACATTAAGAAGCATGGGCTGATTTAGTAGAAACCTTGGACGAGCCAAGAGTGTTCCTGGAAAAAAGGGAAAAAGAGGAACAAAAATCTGTGCTTGGTATCCAACACTAAGTATCAAAGCAAGCATGAGCAAAGCACAGCGCTGGTCATTGATTTTGATCCAAGACCTGTGGAGCACCATCAAGTTTCACTGGAGCAAATCAATCGATTAGTGTCATATGGGTGACATGTTGCAGAACAGTAGTAATAGGTTATCAATATGGGAAACACAGCTCAAATCTACCCACGAAAATTTTGATCTTAAAGACCCTAGCTGCTTGCAAGAAAAAGTCAAAATTTTCTGCAAGAACCTCACGCCAGCCTCTGTCATGGAAATTCCAGGCACTCAAGGGCAACAAAGACAAAGAAATGATTCTTAGAAAGATGGTGCCAACTAAGAGCGTCCAAATGTCTACCAGCTTTCAAAGCTGGTTAACTTGTAGTTCAAGCAGAGCAAAATGGTGCTTCAGAAGCATTCAACTTTATTTCCCGCTATATTTGGGGAATAGACTCTGAACCGTTTCAGTCAAACTGGATGCTTTATGGCCCAGAAGGTGAGTCAAGCGCAATCCTCAAACACAAGGAAGAAACTTCAAACAAAGTGTGTTGTTCTGGATTATGGGTAGACCCCAAGCTGCCCTTTCTTACCTGTTCACCAGACAGCCTTGTGGGTAAGGATACTGTTACTGAGATCAAGTCCTTGAAGATTTTCAAACAGTATTCTGTACAATAATTCTTAATAAAGAAACCACAACTTTTAGTTTGCAAGACATGTTTCGACATTCTTATGTCATCTTCAGTTGTAAATGCGATTTTAACGGTTGTACATTTGAATTTATATGAGATTACGTTACAGATTACGTCATATTGTTTACGTTACAATTTGAATATTAAATACGAAAAAACGTGACATAGCACGCGCCAGATGGGGAAAGAAGGAGAAAAGAAAAATAATGATCATAATAAGAAAAATTATTATGATGACAGAATCAAAAGGAAAGAGACAACTCTAGATGCTTCAATTGCTGATTAAGGATGGGTTTGTCCCACTTAATATGCAATGCCTCTTTGATCTTAATTTTGTATTTCGAAGCGGCAGAATCTAAAATGGTGAAACATTCTGTACCACAAGAGTCGAGACAGGCCTTTGATGATTGTAGGTGCTTGTAAATGTGTGAAGTTTTGTCAGACAAGAGGTGCTCACGAACCCGTGTACAGATGTGGCGAGTGGTCTCACCAATATAACTGGCATTACAGCCAGCACATGAAAATTTATAAACGACACGCGAACGTAGACCTGGTGGTACTGAATCTTTCACACTGAACAAGTTTCTGAGCTTAAACGTATTGAAGACTAACTTAATATCTAAATCAGGTCTACAATAACGTTTCAGTAGATGCCTTAACTTGGTTTGAGCGATGTCAGAAAACCGCCCAACATAAGGAAGTTTAAAATAATGCGAAGAAGGGTTTCCGGAGTTTAATGTGGCGTTATGCGTGGGAGAAGGATTATAGCTCTTGGCCAGATGTCTTGAGATAATCCTGTCTATGACGCTGGAAGGGAAACAATTTTTCCGTAGCAAGAAAATAAGTTTTTGTACATCCTTGTGGAAACCAACCCAGGAATTATTGATCTTATATACTCTGTCAACCAGAGTTCTTATTAAACCTAATTTGTACATCATAGGAGTGAAGCTAAAATAATTCGTCAGAAGACCAGTAAACGTCTTCTTGCGGTAGACGCTAGTAATTATGGATGGATTACTGTTGTCAATCAGTATGTCTAAGAACGATAATTTCTCATTAATTTCCTTTTCCATTGTGAAGCGAATACTAGGGTGTCTGGTGTTTAAATAATCAAAGAACAATACCGCGTCCTTCTCATTATTGAACAAACAGAAGGTGTCATCGACATAGCGTCTGTAGAAAACAACTTCAGATAATGAATAGTTGTCTAACCAGGTTTTTTCATGATGTCCCATAAAGAGATTTGCAAGTACTGGAGCAAGTGGGGACCCCATGGCAACTCCATCGATCTGATCGTAAAACACTCCCGCAAACAGAAAACCGGTTTCAGCTGTCGCAAAGGCAAAAAGCCTTCTTAGGTCAGCGGCGTTTATCTTAAGACCAGGGTTACCTTGATAAATATACCTAATCGCAATATCTATGCACTCATCGAGAGGTATACTAGTGAATAAGCTCTCGACATCGAAAGATACCATGAATTTCCCTGAGGTAGATAATTGGTTGATTTCATGTACAAAAGAGAACGTGTCGCGGACGTTGTATTCATGTGGGACATGTGGCTCGAGAAGATTACAAAGGAATTTAGATAAATTGTAATTGTAGGTACCTATTGAAGATACTATTGGTCGAAAGGGAGGTGTTTCATTAGGTCCTCTAGCCTTGTGCATCTTAGGTAGCCCATAAAACCTGGCTGGTTGAGAACCAACTGGGTAGATTCTCTCATAGGTATTTTTGTCTAAGTGGCCCTTACTTTTAAGTGTTCTTAAAAAACGTTGTAATTTACCTTCCCTTTGTAATGTTGGATCGTTATCATTAACCTTAAACTTGGAAGTGTCACTGATAATAGATAAAATACCCTGTTCGTAGTCTTTCCTGTCCATGACAACCAGGCCATTTCCTTTGTCAGGTTTCAGTATTACAATGTCCTTGTTCCTCCTTAGATTCTTTAATACCCTGTATTTCTTCAGGTCCGCTGCAGAAGGTTGGTGCGATGAGACGTACGAGTGGGCAAGATGAGAGAGGTCTGCGACAAGTTTGCCCTTTAGTTTCCTGTCGAGTATATTTCTGACCATGGTACGATTAATTAGCTCAAAACAAGAAAAGACATCCGTTTTGCTGATGGTGCTAGGACAAATAGAATGTGAAGGCCCATATTTAAGTATTTCCAGTTGTTCGGACGTGAGATTCTTGCTAACCTCCACTATTCTCAAGGAAGTCCTGAGTAAGCAGTGTTTTTGTGTAAAAGATGGGAAATGTACATTGAAGTGTACCCATGGTTACTACTATCAGTGTCAACACATCCTGCTAGTGACAGGCAGGAAGTTCTGTGGCTGTATCTCATATTCAGCAAGTGGTTCAGATTCAGTGGAGAGGATTGCAAGAGACCAGCCCCTCATTGCAAAAATCTCAGAATTTCTCACAACATTCTGGATGAGAGTGGTAGCTCCCAAGATTTTTGGAATGCGTATCTCAGGGATCTTCTGCCTTTCATTTTACCACAACTGAATCCAGATGCCATAGACGACAAGGGTGCAGTGAACAATGATATATTTCCATCAGCTTCACCTGGTAATAACAGTAGGCCCTTATATCCCTTGGGAGAACACAAGGTTGTATAGTAAATCCCTCTCATGCTGACAGCCCTTAAACCTGAGAGGAAATTTATGCTGCAGATGCCTTGTTAAATGTTTCAAATAATCCAATGCACTACATGTCTTCTGTCTCCCATTATCAAGACCATGGTCTCACCTTTTTCCCTTGGGGTGGAGTAACAAGTGCTGGAATATCACTGACCAACACGTGTCCTCTGGATAACTGGATCATAATATTTCAGACCCTTGTTCACTCACGTAGAGTAAACTTGGTAGACCTTCTGGAGTCCGGCGATACCATTGCAAGGGTACTTCAGCTTGTTGTCTCAGACTACAACCTCAAGCTACATCTGGCATCTTGGATTTATGTAGGAATGAAGGTGACTTTTTCATTAAGCTCTTGAATCCCTACCTGATGAGCACCACCACCTCAACCTGCTTCTCAGTAACCTACCCTAATCCAGTGCAGACAGTTCACTCGATATCTCTGATACTGCCCCTGCCAACCACCAATATCAATGGGGAGAACACCGTCCTCAATTCCCTTAAATTTTGGCTTTACTTAGATGATTCTCAGTGTGGGAGGAAATTTGCCAGCAAGCCATCAGAGGAAGTTTCCCTTTATGAGGACTTAACTTTGAATGAACATGGTAACACCTACACATCGTGGCACTGGCATGAGGGTCAGTGCCCCATGTATGATGCTAAATTTGAAATCATTTCTCCTCTTTTCTTTTGATCTTCTTAGTAGGGGGGGGGGGGCAGCTCTAACACTGGCCTAAGTACCTTTGTTGATTTCTTTTTTTGGAAAAAATTATTCTCTTTTTGGTGTAACACTTTGGAATGGCGGTTACTGCATTTGCACTTTCCAGTTCAGCAATGTCTGGTTTATGTATGATGGTTAAATGGAACATGCAAGGACAGTTTCTAGAGTCAGCTTTTCTCCAGTGGTTTTCCAAGAGCCACCAGGTTATTCAGCATGCTCTTCAGCTTACTGTACTTAGGCTATGTAATGGCAGATTTGAGTTATCCTTCTGAGGCTGTCCAGTATTGTGCAAATCTATGGTTTTGTTAAACACACAGCCCTTTGTCTTTCTATTTAAAGAGAGTTCATGCCACAAAACCTTCATAAACATTTTGATGTCATTAGTTTTAAGTCAGATTCTAGCATGCATTTAGGGGTATCTATATGACCAATACTCCTGAGTCAGAATCACTCTAAGAAATAATTTAATGAAATTAAATTTGTGCCTTTCATCATCGTTATTTGTTGCTAATTGAGATGGACAAGTAGCCGAGAAAGGGGGAGTGAAAACCAACAATTCTCCTTGAAAACACAAGGGATTATTCTAACTCAATGATAAACCACCAGGGTTTTGGAGAGAAAATTGATAAATTACACATCTGGTTTTGTTCTTTTGTTACAGTGAAATAATTGTGTTATTGCACCTGATAGTTTTCAACCTTTCTTTTTTATTTTTGTCTTTTGAGTGATCTCGCAAAGAGAATGAAACAAACTTCAATAAAATAGCATGAGATCTGGTACATGTATACAAAATTTCTTCTAGTTGATTTCTCCTTTTTTCCGTCTACAATGATGATGATAATATTTATAAATCTTCTATGATTTTAGTGTGTTAAATCACTCGAGTGGTCCTGTAATTCAGGAATAACAAAACAAGGAAAACAAGTCAATAAATGTTCCCCCAGGATTTGAAATATACATATATGAAAAACATGCACTTCTACAAATAAAAAAATCCCTCTTAAACATGTAAGACTTTGATTTTCAGTTTCCTTCCTCACAATATGACTAAGTAATGCTGGTAGAACAGCTTAATCTATTTACAGAGAGTTTCCTGAAAGTTTACTAGACATGCAGCAACAACTACCAATTGAGTTGAAAGGGGGGCAAGAGATGATGGTAATTTGCTCTCAACAAGCCTAAACTGTTTGAGGCATTCATTGAAATGCTCAACATGGGTCCTTGCTTCGGCAATGCACCATGTTTCCAACTCCTCTGCTGCAGTTAAACTAGTTCTTCCTTTTAAGGACGGTATCGTATGTGTCACTTGTCTGGGGTTTAACAGTCCTCTAGCCGTAAGTCCACCATCTGCCATTACCACATCACCAGGATGGAGATACCTCAAATTACCACACTCTTTAAAAATCTGTACATCGTTAATATCACCCTCAAAAAAATCCGATACAAAACATGCACCACTGTTTGGTGTTACTGCAATCAGGCACTTTAAAATATTACAATGTGTATAAGAAGAGAAAGTATTACACTGCCTAGCAAAATTCCTTCAACACTCAATTTTAAATTCAGTACAATCAACAGTGCAGTATATATTTTGCATTGCCTTGAAAACCTTTGGAATGAAACAACTCAAGTGAGCCCTTTCAGGGAACATCATAGTTTGCAAACACAAGTTTCCCTCGCAACAAGATAAGGAATAGAGAAAACTTCCTGCGCATTTGAAAGCTCAACGTCCGCTGTCAACTTAAAACGTCAATTAAATGATCATAGAATTGCACAGCTTGATTATCATTGTTTGGACTGTAAACATTCACTAAAAAATTTTTTTCATCATTGATTTGAACTTCATACAAACATCTTCCATTGGGATCAATGACTTTTTTAATTATCTTGCAATCAAACCCCTTTCGAAAGAGTATTGCAACACCTCTTGAATTACTACTCCCATGAGCAACCTCCAGAGGGGCACCCCAGTCAGCTTTCCATTGTTTCTCATTGTTTCCAGTTGAATGCGTTTCTTGAAGAAAAATAATATTTGCATTTTTTTTTCTGCACCATGCAAAAATTACGCGTTTCTTAAAATTGCTCAAGCCTCTAACATTTAATGAAAGTATTCTAAAATCACTCATTTCTGCTATGATTTTTCTTATTTGGTACGGAAAAAACCTGGAAGACCATTTGCCTTACAACACACCTTTGAATAATTATTTGCATTGCTCTACACAAAGAAACGAAAACACTGACACAAAAATATAAACACATAGTAAATAATTTAGCTTGGAAAATAATATCAAATTTCAAATTTTCATCTTCCCCCCTGAAGGAGTGTAGCATCCTTTCTCTCCCCTTCAGCCGCACTCGCTCCAAACCGATAAATATTAACTTAATAATATGATTGACAGTAATTATGGCTTCCTATAAATGAATTTTATCATTGGTCAAAAAAAGATTAACAAAGAGTGGCCTTCGAATTCATGAAATTAAATGAAGAGCTAGATAATTCATCTTAAAATATTGTAGACAGTTCTGGAGCAAAGATAGTATATTTGATAGTATAGCAATACGCAATCAAGTCCAGTAGTCGGTTTAGCTGGTGTTGGCATTTTCAGCTTGCAGGTAGAAGGACTTAAGTTTTGACTCACCATTCAATTTAAAAATGATCCTGGCCAGTACGCTCCAAGGAATATAGGCAAATTGGACATCTTCTTGACTACGGATTTCATTCAGGTGCCTCTCTTTAAGCTTTTTGGGCTGCTCCCTCGCAGATTTTGATATGTCGTCTGAAATGTATAGATTTTCTTCATGGAAAGGATTCTCTCTTAACTTAGAGGCTGCATTACCATGTATGTGTTTCTGGTTATATTTGCTTCCATGAAGAACTGCCGCAAACACACTACAATCCACCTTCTGCACTTCTCAATATCTTGAGAAGGCATTGGAAATGGAATGAAGACTTTCTTCCTGGATTCCTCAAGTTCTTTAAGAGATTTAGGCCATTTCTCTCAATACCGTTAATCCATTTTTCACTTGCCCCAACAACAATGTTTAGTGCTTACCATTTTACGTCGATTTTGGGGACAAACATCAAATTTTAAGCGATTTCCCACAGACTTTGTTGGTAAAGAATAGCGAAACATGACTAACTCTTTTGAGCAAGATGCAAAGTTTTGGCTGAGTCACGTTGGGGGTGCAATCTATTTTTAGAATCTGTGCGCAGCACTATTAAGTACTCGTGGAAAAGAAAGATTCTTTTCAGAAAAAATCACATCCATCTGCCTCTACTTCTGCTGGTGCTGCTGCCATAGCATGCCCAGTTGCTGGTGGTATTACTGCCACTGGCAATGTAAGCACCTGTCAGTAAAATTAGTTTGTATCAACTTAGAGCTTTGCACGAAACAATCAGGAAAACAAATTTAGACCAATCTTTCTCAAACAAAATGAATCAGGTATTCCTAACGTTGGGGGAGAAAAGTTGGATGGTGAAGTCACAGCATAGACACGACAGAATTTAGGTGTTAAATAATGATAGTAACTGTTGTACCTTGTTCTGTGCATCAGCTGTTTCTTTTAACAAAGTAAATACTTTTGAGTGAATGCACCTTATTCATCTGAATAAATTATTATTTTTAAAAAATTCAAGTGCATTATATAACAGTTCATTTAATCCTAGCATAACACACAGACATCTTTTAGACTTTTTTCAACTAATCCTTTATGGATGCTTGCAACGCTGCATCTTATTGGCGTTATAGTTCTCTGGTGTCCTCCAATTGTTAACTGTTGTTTAATAAACTGCCAATTAAATATTGATGAACACAGCTATGTAATGCAGAAGGTTTTCAAAGCAGCAAAAGACTATATCACTGCTATAAAGTGCATTAATAATAATAATGTTTATTTCTTATATTGCGCAGTCTAGCATGCGATAAAGATATGATGGAGTGCGCATTACAACACTAAAATCTTAAAGTAATAAATGGCTGGTCCAGATAATGATAATAATAATAATAATTTACAATTTTCGGAAAACAATAAAAGTAAAATATGAGTTAATAAAAGAACTAATAAAAAGCTAATTTAAAAAGATGTGTCTTTAGTAAAACTTTAAAAATTTTCAATGATTGACATTGTCTAATTTCTAGAGGGAGTCGATTCCATACTTTGGGCGCAGCATTTTCAAAAGCCCTATTCCCGAGTGTCTTTTTTGTTCTATACGTATTGTCCATTAGGAGTATGCCCCAGTATGATCTCAACTGATACCGTGAGCTCTCTTTGATTTTTATCAAGTCTGAAAGATATTGTGGTGCGACACCGTAGATACATTTGTGAACTAGCATTGCTATCTTGAATTCTATTCTGTGGGTAACTGGAAGCCAGTGCAGGTTGATCAGGGATGGTGTGATAGGATCATACCTAGATATAGTACATACCAGCCGAGCACCCGCATTCTGCAGGCGTTGCAGCTTACCAAGATGACCAGCGGGCGTACCATGTAATAGACCGTTTCTAATACGCCGGATGTTATGTAGATGGTAATTCGCCGGTAACAAAACGAAAAAGGGCCTAGGACCGAATGTCGATCGCAAAGCATGCATGGATTGATTGGCTGGACAGGAAGACATGTTGACATACATGTGTTGTAATTTATCCTGTTCAAAAGAGACTAATTCAAAGCTGTTTTGAAGGAAAATGCCACATCATTTTAACTGTTGTGTGCCCCAGTGTACCAACAACTTTAGAAACAAACCAAATCTGGAATATTACAGGATTCCCAAGTGCGAAAAGGCTCGGAAATACTACAAAGTATCGCTTAGAAACGAATCGCTAAAGCTGGATTCTTCCCAAACGAGAATCTGTTCTGAACACTTCGAAGGTGGCCAAAAACTCAGCAGAAATCATCTGCCAACAATATTTCCATGGACAAAAGAGAGAAAATCAAGGAGAGAAATCTTTAAGCATGACTTTGTGCCAAAGAAAAGGAAAGTCGCATCAGTTGTTGTATCTACTACTGATGCTGACAGCAGTTACTCTGACAACAATGCCAACATTGTAACCCAAACAACACCGACCTCGACTGAATCACTGCACGAGGATCCAAACTATACGAGAGAAGTTCAACCTGAGGAAATACTGAATAATTTTCGAGAAGAACAACATCAATATCTTTCTAAACACACTCAAACTGACATAGATTTGGCATCATTGGAAGAGGTATTGAATGAGGTATCTAAACTCAAAGAGAAAAACAAACAATTGAGAGATAAATGTGACCAGTTAACAAAAGAAAACAAACATTTGAACTTTATTTCAAGTAATAGTGAAGTTTTTAGTATTGAGAAGTACAAAGATAATCCTGATGACATTGCATTCTACACTGGACTCTCTGATTATGAAATGTTAATGATGTGTTACAACCTAGTGAAAGACTCAGCTAAGAATATAAGCTACAATTATGAAAGAATATACTGTGACTTAGAAAGTACAAAACAACCTGGCAGACCTAGAGCACTATCAACATTCCAGGAATTCATAATGACTTTGGTGCGAATACGACTGGGATTGTTTGAGAGAGACTTGGGCCATAGGTTTAATGTTTCTCACATGTCTGTTTCATGGATAACTAACTCATGGCTGAGATTTATACAGATACCACCTGATGATGTTTTGAAATTTCATATGCCGAAAGTCTTCAAAGAAATCTGTCCTGACACTGTTGTCATTGTAGACTGCACTGAGTTCCAGATGGAAAAGCCATCGTCACTCGATGCCCAATCTGCCTGCTATTCATCCTATAAGAGCACTAACACAATGAAAGCTTTATTAGGAATCACACCAAGTGGAGTTGTCTGTTTTGTTAGTGAACTATTTCCAGGAAGTACTTATGATCTAGAAATAACAATGCAAAGTGGCTTTCTTGGCAAACTTAAAAGAGGTGACGAGGTAATGGCTGATAAGGGGTTTAATTGTCAAGATGAGTTAGCATCAGTTGGAGTTGTGCTAGTTAAACCTAATTTTCTAAAAGACAAAAAGCAATTTTCTACCAAAGAAACAGAACATAATAAAACAATTGCAAGTCTCCGTGTCCACGTGGAAAGGTTAATGGAACGTATTAAAAACTGGCATATTTTTTATCGTAAAATTCCCATTTCAATGTCACCTGTTGCCTCTGATATATTAATTGTGGTGGCTGCTCTATCAAATTTTCTTCCTCCCTTAATAGACTAATTAGATTTTGTATATGTTCATGGTAGAGTGCATTTCATTGTTGATGTGTGAAACACTTTGAAAGCAAAATTGTGCAAATTAGTGCATGTTTCACTCTTATAATGAAATGCACCCAAGGTGTAAGATAGAGCAAAAACACGAACTTTGAAATGATATTAAATAGTTATTGACAAATACTTAGTATGTAGTGACAAATTAATGATATCACTGGACCAGAATAGTTTTTAGTCTTGCTATAAAACAAATGCAATTGACAGAGACCACTTTAAATATATGGTACTGTCATTAAACTGTTCAGGATTGAGCACAAAACAAAATGAAACAAAACTATTTATTCTAAACATGAACAAAAGCTACAGAATATAATACATTACATGATAATATATTTGCTTGACGTTTTGATCTGATAAATCTTTAAATTGTTTTCCACACATGTGCAGTCTACACTTTGATGCATTAACTTTAACTATAACTAAATATATTATACTTTGCCTCTTTTGTATTCTTTTGTCCAGTGACAACTATTGTGGTTTATTAAACTTTGAAATTACAATAACTGCACAGGTATTTAAAAGCCACTTATTTCAATAAATAGTGCCTGTTATTGTTGTTAGTATTTTTAGCCTTTTTAAAGGTTACACTACATGTAGACCCATTATGTCCAAGATAATTAAAATTCTGCAACTTATATTCAAGACTGCAAGGTTTTCTTTTACACTGTTCTAAATGAATTCATTTAAATCAATTTAGGCACAGTCTATTCAAATCTCAACTGACATCTTGCTAACCCATATTTGACTCGAGGATATGACATCTCTGGTAAAACTTGTTGTTGAAAGAAATTGCAAAGTTTAGGAAGAACACTTTCCCAAAACTCAGAGTTGAAGTTGACTCGCTCAATGTATAGCTCATTTCCTGTTGATCCCTTGACTACAAAATCTGTCCATTTACGCTGGGTTACAAACATCTGTTGTTGTATTTGATAGAAATACTTATGTCCAGTGTTCATCTTTAGATGGTTGTCACCACAGTCCTTACATATTCTTCTTTGAAGCAGACCTTGTCTAAGACTCTCACTGTCATTTAACTGTATCAATTTCATTTCAAGAAGTCCAAGTGGTTGGGAAACATGAGGATCTGACACTAGACCATCAGGGGTGGCTGCTAAGAAACCATGGCTTTGGCTTATAAAAAGCCCACATGGCTCAACTGAAAGATTCCTGTAGCCTGAGTTATGCTTAGATGTAACATATAATCTTTCAAGTTCTTCTTCTTTCTCTAAACCCTGATTCATTGCAAAACTCTGATACTGTTTATTATACTGTAAGACATCTGCAAGTGCCTTTGTTGGTGATGTAGTGGGCTTCAAAGAGGCAACCCGGTAACATTTCGAAACTGTTATTCTACACTTTCTGTGATAATTCCAAAGCTTGTCCTTTGATTGTCCTCTAGTCTTTTGCTCAACTTTGGTAATTTCCTTTTCCTCTAGATTCAACTTTTTCTCAATTTCTTTGCATTTTTCACTTATTTCCCTTAGGGATGGTGGAAGGACTTTGAGCAGCGAAACAATGGTGTCTTTTTCTTTAACCTCTTGTGGCAGTATGTGACTCCAGCCAACAATGTTACCACTTTTGGTTTGATAGTCTTTGATAGTTTGTAACATATTGTTCACTTTGGCATCTGACCACTCTCTCTGATGTATAGCTCGAACATCTTTCCCTTTCTTGATATTTGGTGTTTTGTCAGTCTTAATTTGTTTGCTGTAGTCATGTTTATGAAATGACATGGCTGAGATTGGTGATACAGGACCTTTTCGTTTCCTTGGGATATTCCATTTACATGGTTTAGAAGTACATGATTCTATGGAGATCTTTTCTCTTTCTTTGCAATATTCATCCAAGGCAAAGAGAGTTGCAGACACATGATTACATCTTCCGTCTATTCCTGCTGGGCAACCACAATATGCTTTGAGTACTCCTCTAATACTTGACATTACTATTTGACATTGGTATATTAAGTTCTTTTTCATTGATGGGAGAACTTGGCTCTTTCTAAAGTGCTTCCCACTTTCCTTTAAATGGTGAATAGAATGTACGTTCCCAGACTTATAAAAATTGAACCCCTTTACAAGAGGTTTAGCAGTTGAGAGTTGTTTTTTTGAGTCAACTGAGTTGATCATGTAACGCCAGATGGTTCCAAATGATACTTTAGGGAGAGCATTGAGATCAGAGTTGAAACCTTCTTTTGGAAATTTTCCATTTGTTTGAGGCTCTTTCTTATCAAGCAAACCAAGATCTGCTTTTTTCTTCATAATATTAGCGCCATTGTCGGGGTCTCTAAGATATTTCTTGTCAAGGCCATTTTCTACATAGTGTTTTACCCTATGCAAAACGATTTTAAATAATGTTAATGGAGTTCTAAGCAGACGATTTAATGTATAAAATCTTTAAGTGAATATGTTTTCCATCAGAAATATTAATGGTTTTTATGTAAGCAAAAGAAAGAGCTACAAAAAAGCTGAATTTGACCCTTTACCTGCTGACTAAAGCTGACTTTTTACCACTTGTTTTCGCTCCCCTACAAATCAGCCAGCGCTTTAGCTGCACCACACTGCATGCCTCTACATTTCTGTTTGGCAAAACAGCCCCAGGTATATCGTCTTCAGTTAAAATAAAGCCTTCTTCTTTAGTTTCTGAGAGCTTACTATCATTCGCAATGGACGCCATTTTGATTTCTGTCCAGCCAAACAATCCATGCATGCTTTGCGATCGCAGTTTCAGTCCCAGGCCCTTTTTCGTTTTGTTACCGGCGAATAAATATTCTGACATATGCTGTTAATATGTGTGGTCATATTCATGTTTGCATCAAACCAAGCACCCAGGTTTCTAACAGAGTAAACCGCAGAAACCTTTACCTTACCTACTTGCAAGTCACTTATCATAACCTTATTTAACTGTGCGCGTGTACCTATAATAAGAAACTCGGTCTTAGCATCGTTCAGCCGAAGTTTGTCTTGGACCATCCAGGTTCTTATGTCCCTGATGCAAGCTTGTAGAGCGTCAACAGCATCCGTCTCAGTAGCAGAACCATCCGGCTTAAATGAGATATAGAGCTGCGTATCATCAGCGTATGCGTGAATGTTAGGGAGATGGGATTCAACAACATCGAAGAGCTTACTTGTGTACAACGTGAAGAACAAGGGACCAAGACATGATCCTTGAGGTACCCCTTGAGGCAGATCTTGTTTGAGTGGTTATCAGTGGCGTTGATATCTTCTTCGGAGCAGGATACAGAGATAATTTCCTCTTCACTTTCATCAAAGTCGAACTGATTCACTGAATGCTTTTGTACGGGTTGTCCTCCTTCATTCGGTGGATCACCGGGCATGCTTCAATCCCTTGCTAAACTCGCTGTTGACTAAGGTTGACGTTCAAATGACGTTGTTAACCAAACGAAAGCAAGAATTCCATCCCACTCCTGACACCATGTAACGTTGTGGCTTTGTACAGCAACAAACGGGTCTTGTAAACATAAACAAACGATACTTTTTAATCCTTAAGTCGGTTCACTGAAGACTCGAGTACAAGATCGCGAGCACATGTAAAACCTGGCATGCTATTGGATAACAACAATCACGTGACGTTACAGGGACCTTACGATCCGACAACGGCGACGGTGACGGCAACGTGAGAAGTCTGGGTCGAGCGGGGCCACGTCGTGTTGGCGTTCCCGCCAAAATTGAGATTACGAATTTTACGAGCGAGAACGTTGACGACGGTCATTGATGTTTATCGTGTTTAAGTCAGCGAAAGTTTTCTAGAAAGCCATGCCAAAGTTCCGTGACACTATTCTCCTGGCTCATGCTTCCCGTTTGATTAATGCTGAAGAATTCGTGCTTCTCTACGATTTACACAAGCCTAAAAATCCGGATTTACCGTGCACTAACTACGAGTGTTTCGATCTCGACAAGATGACCGATGATGAATGTAAAATTGAGTTTAGATTTTACAAGAATGACATTTACAACTTGGCAGAGGTGTTTACTTTACCGGATCGGATCGTTTGCTACAATGGTGTAAATGTCGACATGGTTGAGGCATTGTGCATTTTTCTTAAAAGATTTGCCTATCCCTGTAGATACGTAGACATGATACCCAGATTTGGAAGGCCAGAACCACAATTGTGTATGATCTCAAATGCTGTTACGAACAAGATGTATCAAACATGGAACCGACTTCTCACTGATTTGAACCAGGATTGGTTAAGACCCGATCATTTAGAGGAGTTTGCCGTTGCAGTTCACAACAGGGGAGCTGCTCTAGACAACTGTTGGGGGTTTGTTGACGGTACTGTGAGGCCCATATGCCGACCAGGACAAAACCAAAAGTGCTTATACAATGGTCACAAAAAAGTCCATGCTATAAAGTTTCAATCTATTGCAGCACCCAGTGGCCTTGTTGCCAACCTGTTTGGGCCTGTCGAGGGAAAGAGACACGACAGTGGGATGTTAGCTAGATCTGGAGTGTTAAACCAATTGCAACGATTTTCAGTGGACACAAATGGGAACCCCCTATGTATTTATGGAGATGCGGCATATCCTCTTTGACTACATCTGCAAGGACCTTTTCGAGGGGCTGGACTAACTCCCATACAGTCTGCATGGAATGAATCTATGAGTGAAGTCAGAGTTTCTGTTGAATGGATTTTTGGTGAGATAATAAATTATTTTAAATTTCTGGACTTCAAAAAAAACTTGAAAATAAGTTTAAGTGCTGTTGGCAAAATGTATGTGACATGTGCCCTTCTTCACAATGCTCGTGTTTGTTGTTATGGATCCACTACATCAGACTACTTTGATGTTTCTCCCCCAGAAATTGGGGATTATTTGCACTAAGTCTGCCAAACAGGTTTTACAAAAGTTACACAACACTTTTCCTTTCGAAAATTGAACTGCTTTTTAATAAAAAAAAATTATGCAATCGAGAAAGGCTAACATATTGGAATTAAAGTGAAATAAATGCCAACAAAACAAGCTATTAAATGAGAACAAATAATGGTGAGCATGTTTACAGAGAGTAATGCAATTCTATAGTTGGATAAGCCCTATTGCCTTGATAAAGGCTCAGCCCCAGTTTTGATACTGGCATAACATCAATTCGGCGACTTTCAAAGGTTGGCAAAATTAAGCAACATTTCCTTTACAACTATATATGTAAACAAGTAATTATTATTTTAAATCTTTAATTTTTAACTTCCTTGAAAATGTTCAAGTTAATAAAAATGTGAACTCTTTGTGCATTTAAATGACCTCTTGCAGAGATTGACCAGCATCACTTCCCAGCAAACTTTTTCATTAGGCCTTGTTCAAACGTCGATGTTTACATTTACTGAACCTAACGTTTCTATTAAGTACATGTAAAGATCGACGTTTGAATCAATAAGGATCGGCAGATTTGTATTCGGATCGACAGTGCCGTTCTATCCGACTCGGCTAGTCGGATAGAACGGTAAAAGATCGGCATTGATTCATACGTCGTACTTTACATGTACCGAACCTAATGCATACATTATACATACGTTAAAATAATTATGTTTTACCCACAATTCAAGAAAGTTCGCTTACGTGCCATGCGCGAAAGCCTTCGAACCATTCAAACAATATGGCGGGAAAGGAGGAAGGCTCGTGCTCCTCTTGTTTTAAAACCACAAAATATACCTGTCTTACGTGTAAGGAGTACTTTTGTATGCCATGTTCGGTGTTTGAAAACGACGAAGATGTTGTGGGTTGGATGCAAGGAAGTTCAGTGGGCTATTGTGAGCCTTGCTTTCGTGAGAAGATGGAGAGAGAAATGATTTCAGGCGATGGAACAAATGATAAGTCAAGCAGAAAACGTGAAGGGCAACGTGAAAATACGTCAACCTCGGAGGGAACACCGAAAAGGTAAGCTTTTACGACCGTCCTGCACAAGTGTGATCAAAAGATTATCGAAGGGAATTCCCTTCTAGCCACAAAGATAAGTGTAGGAAATTTTTTAATTGTGTTTCATGCTTCATGTGCATGATATTTTTGTAGAGCAAATAAATGCTATCAAATGTGAGTTGAGTGTGTGTGTATGTTTGTGGCATTCACTGCTATATCATAGATTTATCATATCTTTCAGTCTTAATTTGATCAACATCGGTGTTTTAAACTGGTGTGCTTCATATAAAAATACTGCTTGTACTAAGGTCAAAATTTTGCTGATGTTGATTGATCTCAAACTCCACGTAGCATTAATAAGAAAGCCCTTATTGACTTATACGTAATTGTAAATCAGCCTTTGAATAACCTGGCCTTTTTAATGTACTAACTTGATTACTCTTTTTGTCTCCTTACCCCCCCTCCCCTCTCAGCTCTGTTGTCCCCTTCCTCTGTGTAAATGAGATTTTAGTTGACTATGCCTTAGTATGGTCTTAATGTTTGTGTAATGTAGGAAAACAACTGATGACAGTTTTGATGACTCAGACGAGGAACAAGATGATGAAGAGAAGGAGATTAATGATATTGATGATGTCTTGCAAATATTTGTGAAGAAAGGCAAGGGAGCTAAAAAAAAGAAATCTGGCAGGAGATCTAAGTGGCCTGAAAAAGCACTAGATGACTTAATTGACATTGTTGTCAGTAAAAGCAACTTCAAAACAAAGCTTATCTTCACCAACAGCAAAAACCAAAGAAATGGATCAATTTACGAAAAAGGTATTAGAAGAGCTAAAGGCGCGGGCTTCTAGCAGAGGTGAGGAAATCACATTTACTGCCAATCAGTTGCATAGCAAGTTTAAGAAATGTGTTGGCTTCTGTAAGCAGGCAGCTCTCACACAAAGAACCGCCACAGGAATCAAGAGGTTCCAAGAGGACCATGGTTTCGGGAAGTGGTTTCATGCTCTCTTTGAAGTTGTCAAGACAAGAGACTCCTGCCAGCCAGAACGGGCACTGGAGCCATCCTCGTCAAACTCAGGGAGGACAACCCCAAGTAGTGAGGGGCTTGAAGGGGAAGAAAAAGACCCATTGTTTGTTCCTGTTAAAAATGTTAGAAAAAAGCAAACAACAAAAGAGAAGCTGGATGCCACAACACTTGAAGCCATGAACCTTGTCAGATCAACCATCGAAAATGACCCAACCAAAGAACTAATCAGTTTTATGAGGGAAGAAATGGAGAAATCCAGAGAACATGAATTTAAATTACTTCAATTAATGTTATCCCAAAGGCCAAATGGCAACTATGATTCTTTTCAAACCATGCAATCATCTGGGGGTATACCCTTTGGGGATACCGGGTATTACCCAAACTGGAATGGGGGTTTTGCACCAGGCCCTGCAAGTCAACTTTGAATGCCAGATGCATCTTATGGGAATGTTTCACCAGCCCCAATGATGCCGCCAAATGCAGGGAA